AGGAGAGAAGGCCACCAGGTTACGGGGGACATTGGTCGTTAGAGGGAGGGAGAGTGTAGAGGCACGGCGAGAGGTACTGAGGTGTGTTACCAGTCCGGTCCGGCCCGTTCCTGATCCCCGCACAAGGCCAGTGGTGTGTGTTCCCAGTACGGTCCGGCCTGTTCCTGCCCCTCGCACCAAGCCAATGGTGCGTGTCGCCAGCCCGGCCCGGCCTGTTCCTGCCCCTCGCACCAAGTCAGTGGTGCGCTTCGTCAGCCCCGTCCGGCCCATCCCTGCTCCCCGCACCAAGCCAGTGGTGCGCTTCGTCAGCCCGGACCGGCCCGTCCCTGCTCCCCGCACCAAGCCAATGGTGCGCGTCGTCAGCCCGTTCCGGCCCGTCCCTGCTCTCCGCACCAAGCCTGTGGTGCGCGTCGTCAGTCCGGCACAGCCCGTGCCTGTTTCACCGGTGCCTGGTCAGGTACCGGTCAGCTGCTCCACACCGGAGCCTAAGCAATCCGCTCCACCGATGTCCAGTCCAGCTCCAGCCAGCAGGGCCAGACCAGACCAGGGGTGCTATGGGGGGGTTGTTAGAGGGTGGTGGTCACGCCCCCGGAGCCGGATCCGCCTCCGAGGCGGAATGCCCACCCGGCCCCTCCCCTGTTGGGTTTATGTTGGAGCGGTCGCAGTCCGCGCCTTTGGGGGGGGGGGGTACTGTCACGCCCTGGCTCTGGGGACTCTTATATGTTGAGCCAGGGTGTGTAGGGTCTATGTTTTGTGTTCTATGTTCAGTTTCTAGTTCATGTGTTTTCTAGGTTGGCCGGGGTGGTTCTCAATCAGAGGCAACGAGAATCAGCTGTTGCTTGTTGTCTCTGATTGGGAACCATACTTAGGCAGCCTGTTGTGCACTTGTGTTTTGTGGGATCTTGTTCCGTGTTGGTTTGTGTTCATGACCGAGGACTTCACGTTTCGTTTTGTTGTTTTGTATTTTGTATCGTGTTGCTAGTACACTATTAAAAAGATGTACGCATATCACGCTGCGCCTTGGTCCACTTTTCATGACGATCGTGACACATAGACTTATATGGACAGAACGTTTAAATTCTTGTTAATCTAACTGCACTGTCCAATTTACAGTAGCTATTACAGTGAAGAAATACCATGCTATTGTTTGATGAGAGTGCACAACAACAAAAAACGTATCACGGCAACTGGTTTGATACATTCACCTCTGAAGGTAAATAATGTACTTACATTCAGTAATATTGCTCTGATTTGTCATCCTAAGGGTCCCAGAGATAAAATAGTTTTGTTTGATAAAAAATGTAGGAACTGGGCACTACAGTTTGAACCCCTGCCGTCTCTGGCTCCACACCCACCCAACCAGCCATCTAGATGTGTGAAAGTTAATGTATAAGCTAATGATCCATCATGTATGACATTCCTGGGAGTGTGTAAACTTACAAAAATGATATGGTAATACAAAATGTATGTGCTCTATAGTTATGTACTTGAAAATGTATCAATTGACCAATTTGGCACATTTGGGCATTCTTGATACAAAATAGTCCAGTATCGCAACGCTTCACTGGATCAATCTGAAACTTTGCACACACACTGCTTCCACCTAGTGGCCAAAATCTAAATTGTGCCTAAACTGCAATATTATATTGTGGCCTTTCTCTTGCATTTCAAAGACGATGGAACAAAAAAATAAATAGAAAACGCCTGTTTTTTTTGTTTGTATTATCTTTTTCCAGATCTAATGTGTTATATTCTCCTACATTAATTTCACCTTTCCACAAACTTCAAGGTGTTTCCTTTCAAATGGTATCAAGAATATGCATATCCTTGCTTCAGGTTCTGAGCTACAGGCAGTTAGATTTGGGTATGTCATTTTAGGTGAAAATTGAAAACAAGGGTACACATTTTTACTCCTGAACTTATTTAGGCTTGGCATAACAAAGGGGTTGAATACTTATTGACTCAAGATATTTCATCTTTTCATTTTTTATTAGTTTGTAAAAATGTCTAAAATCCTAATTCCACTTTGACATTATGGGGTATTGTGTGTAGGCCAGTGACACAAAATCTGAATTCAATCAACTTTAAATTCAGGCTGTAACACAACAAAATGTCAAAGTCCAAGGGTGTGAATACTTTCTGAAGGCACTGTACATGTCATTTCAGAATGTGAAACTAATTTCTCTTTTTGCTTATAGAATTAATGTGTTCTGATAAAGGTCCAATATATTGGCTTATGCCTATTCTAGGTGTTTGCATATCAGCTTTAGCAGTTGACGCACCTCTCCGATGGCTGAAGGGTCTATATGTCTCTTACTGGAGTCTGCATACTGTATGTGGGCTGGCAGTGAGGCTGAGGTATGGGGTGGGGTACCCTCCTGTTGGTCACTATTTGCCCTACCCCTAGAGGACACTCCAGTGCTGTGAAGGGTTGTGTTGTGCTGAGCTGAGCTGTGTCCAGCACCGCTGGGCTGAGCTAGGCTGGTTCTGGCACTGCTGAGCTGAGCTGATCTGGGTCTAGCGGTGCTGGGCTGAGCTGGGCTGGTTCTGGCACTGCCGGGCTGAGATGGGCTGGTTCTGGCACCGCCAGGCTGAGATGGGCTGGGTCTAGCGCCGCTGGGCTCGGACATGTTGGTAGGGGCTGGCTCTGCTGAGATGTGCTTCATCTCTCTCCTTGGTTAGCGGGGAGGTGGGGGGGCTCTGTTGCTGGGCTGGTATGATTGTGGAACTCTGTCTAACATGGCATCTTTCAGGTACTTGGCAAAGAATCTGACTCCCTCATGGTCCAGGTGTACATGGTCATACAAGTGCTCACATGTCAGGGTGTGGTGGTGAGAGATGCTGACATTTGGTAGTGAGGCACAATCCATTTTGCAGCTCTGTAGAAGGATGTAGTCAGATGTCTCTCCTGTTTGCAGTTACTATTAACAAATTGTTTTTCAATTAAAAAGCATGACTTAATGCATCAACAGTCACAGTATTGTGGAAATTGTTTTTATGGCTTTCTTTTTTATTAATATTAATGAGTATGTAAAAGAAATAATTAAGTTGAGTTGTTATAGAATGAATAGAAATGTATTTAACGTAACTTTGACACTAATTAATATTGGGAAATCGACCCTGTGAATGGCATTTGACTGGTCAGTTCATTCAGCATGTTACACAGGGCAGCACAGATTCAAAGTATTTTGTCAATTTTAGATGAGAGGTTGATTGGCACTATCTGTGAGATGATTCTAAACCGTTTGAGCCTTTGAATTATGCGTTCCACATGAACACTCACGTTAGCTATTCATCTTGTACATGTGGTGTACTCCTCTGACAGCTGTGAGCCACTTTTTATGATGGCTGGAATTGCTAATTTGACCTTCCTCTCGTGTAGCAGATCACGGATTGTGAAGCCCCGGTCAGCCATGACCTCATCACCTGGACAGAGGTACTCCAGGAACCCAGAACCCAATGTTATATATTTGTCGCTACATCTACCTCCATATGCTGAGGAGATGAACATCACTAGACTACAAGGTGCAATGGCCACCAGGTACATGATAGTGTTCTGGGTGTAGTAATGGCTGAATGACTACCCCTTTTAATCCAGATTCTTGCACTTCTGTAAAGCAGTTTCTGAGCAGTCAATAATGCAGGTTGTTCCTGGGTAGTGGTCCTTAAAATATTGTGTCATTGTAGCACGGATGGTCTCCCTTGGCAGCCATGGAATGTACTCCCTCAGATTCTCTTCCATCATGTCAATCCAATTACTAATCAGTCGACTGACAATACTCTGGGAAACACCAAACCTTTCTGCTAGGTGCTGCTGCAGCAAGTTGAGCTTCAGCTTCATCAGTGTCATCAGGAGTTGGTCTTTCAGGTCTAACTGAAAGCTGCCTTTGTATAGGGGTAGAAGATGTTCTGCCAGGGTAGAAAAGGCAGCAAGAGACAAGTCTGTATGCAGTCGACAGAGTGCTTCGTTCCTCAGCAGGGTTTTGTAGAGAGGTGCTGCTGGGCACTGAGTCTCTGCCTCACAGGTAGTGGGCTTTACATGATCACCTGAGCTGTAGTTGTGATGACTTCGAGATGGGTCTTCCCATTCAGTTTGGGCATCCTTCTCTGAAGGCATATCCATTCCTTCTATCTGTGTTCGCCAATCCCCATTTTCAATTTGGTGAACACTTGAGCCTGTTGTGTCATCTGTTAAGAAATCAATATGGCTTGTTAAACAAGTCAATGGACAATTAACAACAAAACCATACAATAAAACGCCATACTGCATGGACGTTCCTAATAATATTTAATCATCATAGCAATTAAGTATATATAAAATGGGATTATTTTATTGAGTTGTAGAGGAAATAAATTGTGCTATTATGAGACTGTGCTTAGATACAAGAGCAAGACGGAGACACAAAATGAGAGCAGGCAAACTGCTCAAGCGTTTGGCTTACCTGTCACTGATGACTGCCTGACCAACACCCGACGCTTCTTCACGAGTGGAGCATCGTAGCCAAGCCATTTTTCTGGGTAAGGATGCTCCACTGTAGGCTTCTTGTCAAAGAAGTGGTAGGAGCACACAAAGGGACGTTTTGGTGGTTTCTTTAGGTTCAACGCTTTGAGCCAGAGCCGCAAAGACTCTGCATCTTTAGGAGGTGGATACAGGTCGTATGGGGCTCCACAGGTACATTCAGATCGACGTAGAGGTTGGTGTTCAAAACTGCCTCCTTTATCCAATTATTGTGACAGCCTCATACTGAACATATAATGCTTGTCATGTTGATCGAGTTTAGGATTCTGTGCGGTTCTGTCAGCGTAAAACTATCAAGTTCTCAACCACTTTTACATGCGCTAGCGTCGCGGAAATGTTGCCGGAAATAGAAACACAATTGCAACTAACTCGCCGCGATCACTGTGACGTTCCAGAATAAGGCGAATACCTGTTCTATTTCTTTCCTCTTCTGTTGGATGGATCTGTTTCGTGCTGTGGCCCTGCTCATGGTGGAGGGGAGCTATCTATCCCTCTCTCTTTCTCCCTCTCTGCTGTGGGATCTCTCCTTCTTTTGAGACACGTACATAGACGCAAGGGAGAGAGAGTTATAAGCAGTTATAAGCAAAGCTCTACTTATGAAGAGTGAAATTGTTTCAAATCAAAAGTTTCTGCATTCCTTCTGGTTCGACCTCCGGTTTTACAGTCTTGTATGCAACTATAATAGACACATACCACTTGCCATCTTCCCTCTGTATTCTTTAAGACTTTAACACATTTGCCATTCAGAGCCGACCTGACTGTTGTTGAGTTCATTAAGAGCCTCTCTCTCCCCCTCTACTGTGTCTACTCAAGGTTAGCAGGCAGCCAGCCTCCATTTGAATCATCAGCATGGTTAAACGGAAGGAGAAGACCTTGTGCTCCGCTCTGCTCCTTTCTCTCAAAGTCTGACTACCCAATTATTCCAACTTTCAATTTAATTCTTTATGCTGCACCTGTGCTCTCTCTGTCCTTCCAATTCCCATCCTAGCCAGGAGTGTGGAGGACACACACACACACACACACAAATAATCTTACCGAGCAGACTAGCCAAGATTACTCAAACATTAGTTTTTTTTTAAATCTTTGATTTGAAGGACCGTGAAAGACTGTGTGTGTGTGTAATAAATATTTTTGACAGCGAGCATCATGGGCAAAGAGATTCACTCCGACTTAAATTCAATATGAGTACATTTGTTGTAGTGCATACCTCCCAGTGTGGTACATCTCACTTCAGAGAAATTGAAGCAGCAGTCAAGCAGGGGGGGATCATTTGTATGAAGCTACATTACTGGCTAACAGGGTTGGGGAGTAACGGATTACATGTAACGGACTACAAAAAACCTGTAACTGTAATCCGTTATGTTATCAGCAAAAATATTGTAATCAGACTAGATATTTTTGAAAAACTTTACATTCAGAAAATATTTTTGCGGACACCTGTTTACTCAATGACATTCAAATCAGCGTTGAAAAAGGCGCACGTTAAGTTAGAGTGAGTCTGATCACAAATCAGAGACCACTATGATGACACACCAAATGTGTTTGATGGATCGCGGGAAAAGAGCAATAATATGCTTTTGTAGGCTACAGTCCAAGCTATGTCTTCCAATTGTGTGACTTCTGTCGGCGTCAAAGATGATCCAATTTGAATAAATGCTTGGAGGTCAGGACGACAGCAGTGGTATGTAGCTTACTGACATCACTTATTGATATCTAGGCTACATAGCGCATTGAGGTGAATCACACTGCTGCTCTCTCATTTATTTGCGCCATACAGAATGTTGTTGTTGTGGATGGCTGTTCACAATTGTATGTGTATTTAAACCCAATAATGGTTGAATTTAAGAAGTTTAAGCTGCCTATCAATCATTGTTTTTGCGACCAGGGGTGTATTCATTAAGGAAACCATTTCAGAACCAAATGGAAGCAAATAGAGCAAAATGAGAACTTCAGATAGGTCCTCCCCATTTCGTTCAGTTTACTTCCGTTTAAGAAACGTTTTGCAACAGAATCGGAGTAATGAATACGCCCGCAGTGGACAGCCAGTGAAAAATGTGCTCTTGCAACAACTGCATAGTGTGGATCCTAGCCTATGGAAAAGTTGGAGTTCCTCCCTTCTAAGCTCCCCCGTGGTATTGTGCTCCATACTGTCAAAAACTAGTTTAATTTAAGAAGACCACCAGTGGGGCTTTTATTTTCTTCATTTTTCAACTCAAAGCAATCAGCCCAATCAGTCCTCCATGACAACAAAATCTAAAACAACAAATGAGGCTAATTAGTCCTTCGTTTTTGAGTTATGCTCAGGTAAAACAATTTTGCTAATGTATACTGAACAAAAATATTAACAAAACATGCAACAATTTCAAAGACTGAGTTACAGTTCATATAAGGAAATCAGTCAATTGAAATAAATTCATTAGGCACTTAATCTATGGATTTCACATGTCTGGGAATACAGATATGTATCTGTTGGTCATAGATACCTTTAAAAAAAGGTAGGCGTGTGGATCAGAAAACCAGTCAGTATCTGGTGTGACCACCATTTGCCTCATGCAGCGCGACACATTTCCTTCGCATAGAGTAGATCAGGCTGTTGATTTTGGCTTGTGGAATGTTGTCCCACTCCTCTTCTATGGCTGTGTGAAGTTGCTGGATATTGGCGGGAATTGGAACACACTGTTGTACACGTCGATCCAGAGCATCCCAAACATGCTCAATGGGTGACATGTCTGTGAGAATGCAGGCCATGGAAGAACTGGGGCATTTTCAGATTCCAGGAATTGTGTACAGATCCTTGTGTCATGGGACCGTGCATTATCATGCTGAAACGTGAGGTGATGGCGGCGGATAAATGGTACGACAATGGGCCTCAGGATCTCATCACAGTATCTCTGTGCATTCAAATTGCCATCGATAAAATGCAATTGTGTTCGTTGTCCATAGCTTATGCCTGCCCATACCATAACCCAACTGCCACCATCGGGCACGCTGTTCACAACGTTGACATCAGCAAACCGCTCGCCCACACGACGCCATACACGTGGTCTGCGGTTGTGAGGCTGGTTGGAGGTACTGCCAAATTCTCTAAAACAATGTTGGAGGCGGCTTATGGTAGAGAAATGAACATTAAATTCTCTGGCGAACAGCTCTGTTGGGCAATCCTGCAGTCAGCATGCCAATTGCATGCTCCATCAAAACTTAAGACATCTGTGGCATTGTGTTGTGTAACAAAACTACACATTTTAGTGGCCTTTTATTGTCCCCAGCACAAGGTGCACCTGTGTAATGATCATGCTGTTTAATATGTCACACCTGTCAGGTGGATGGATTATCTTGGCAGAGGAGAAATGGGGATGTAAACAAATTTCTGCAGATAAGGTTTATGTGCATATAGAACATTTCTGGGACCTTTTTTTTCAGCTCATGAAACAATGGGACCAACACTTTACATGTTGCGTTTATATTTTTGATCAGTGTACATTTCCAAGTCCTATTCTTGAAGATCAAGGGGTATTACATTAATTGGAATGACTGGAAATCTGACACTGTTTTTTTTAAATGTAAAGATATAGCCTAATCGTATTATTATCTGTAGTAAAAAGCAATGGGTTAGAAGAACCCCACATAACCAACCAATAAAGTCAAATACAACATCCATTTATGGCGAACTCTGTAAACTCTAAGATTGAACAACATTTATTGCAGGATAAATCAATTGGTAATTTTGTCTTCAAAATTGTAACGCACAGGTTCGTGGCTGGAACAGCCACAAAGACGTAAAATCTGATTTGAAATCTAACCCTAACCTTAACTACACTGCTAACACTAATGCCTAACCATAACCTCAAAATGGACTATATTGTAAAAATGTATGAAAACTAAAATGAGCTTTTAAGGTTAGGGTTAGGAATTAGGGTTAGCAGTGTGCTTAAGGTTAGGTTTAATATCAGATTTTATGACTTGCCAGCCAATAACCTGCGCCTCTTAAGGGGAAAGTAATCAGATTACATTACTGAGTTTGAGTAATCCAAAAGTTACATTGCTGATTACAATTTTGGACAGGTAACTGTAACGGATTACATTTAGAAAGTAACCTACCCAAACCCTGCTGGCTAAAAGTTGTTTTTCTATGGTGAAAGAGGCCTACCTACATGTTGTCGTTTTTGGAAGAGAGAGGGAATGATTTACAAGTTTTCAGTCACCACCATACACTAGCGGAGCATGACAACAGATACAGGATGTGTGCCCTACTGTATAAAGCACAGACTCCACCGATCCCAAAAGAGGCAGAGAGGAGTGGTGGAATGTGGACTTACTGTGAACGACACAGGCTGCTTCTCCTTCTCTCTGCTGGCGCCTGCAGAAGACCTGAGAGCACCTGCAACATCACACAGACATACCGCATCTTCACACAACAATACAATACAACACAAGCCCCCACTCAACACAACACACACCAACAGCTTAGAACAGATGGGTGATAACTTCGAGCTAAACTACAGCAGCTGACATCTGTGATGAACTCTAATATCCTTGATTGGCCCAGCTGATATCTCTCAATTAACTCTAATATCTGTGATTGATGCTGGGACTACTCAATCTACCCAGTGTCCTCCTCAGGGCTAAACTAACATCCCATTAGTGTCTCTAGCTGCAGGTATAATTCAGGACTAAGCTTCCCCATCTCCATCTCTCTGGCTGCACTCTACCGTCAGCGGAAGAGTTATTGTGTACAGGCAGCGCGCAGGAGCTAAAATGTATGTTTCGTTAAGCATTCTTTCAGCATTGGGTGGGATTTGCGAAGTCTGCCTCACAACGTTTGACTGCAGTGTGGGTATGTGAGGCGATAGCTTTGTTTTGGTTCATTACCTGTATACAGAGCTGGCTGTCTGCCCGATACCTCACTCCCTCTTTCTCAGCGTTTTCTTTAGCTATATCTCTCTCGTTTTCCATCTCTTTCTCCATCTCTAACACACACTATAGCAATGATTCACCATCATAGCACATCTCTCAGGCACATAGAGCAACCTGTTCCTCACACACTCACACACACACCCACACCCACACACCTCCACAGTACTGCAGTCTGCGCAGAGACATAGCAGCTGCCTAAAATAGGAGAAAAAACAACCACCACCACCATGGTTGAGAATAGCGATACAGCTAATTTAAACAGCAGCAAGGAGATGAAAGATGAAATTATGGTTTCTATTGCAGATAAAAATACATCGGTATTCTTAAGGCAATACAAAGTTATTCAAGAAAACACTTTCAAACATGATAGAGAATGGGGCTTAAGCATAATAACTAATTGATGACTTACAGGCACATTGATTGTGGTCTTACTAAACCACTTATATTCTTCATGATACTAATAATAACATGATGAGGATAACTTTGATGATCAGAAATAGTTACAGTTCAGTGCTTAAAGGGATACTTTGGGGTTTTGGCAATGAGGAAGTTAGAGGTAGATTCAAGAGGAAATGCTAACTCGCATTAGAGCAATGACTGGAAGTCTATGGGTATCTACTAGCATACTAGCAGATAGCGCATTGACTGGAAGTCTATGGGTAACGCTAGTTGGCATTAGCTCTCGAAACTACCTCTAACTTCCTTCATACTGGAAACAGAGACATAAAAATGGTATCCACGAGTTTATATGACTCCTGGGAAGTAGATAAAGGGCCTCTTTGCCAAAACCCCAAAGTATCCCTTTAAATATATGCCCAATACAGTACTGTATAAAATAAATTATATTATAATTTCATGATCAGCAGCTGTTATCTTATAATAATAACATATAATAATATAATATGCCATTTAGCAGACACTTTTATCCAAAGCGACTTACAGTCATGTGTGCATACATTTTTACGTATGGGTGGTCCCGGGGATCGAACCCACTACCCTGGCGCTACAAGCGCCATGCTCTACCAATTGAGCTACAGAGGACCACCTTCTGTATTCTACATGAGAGGTGACATAAAAATGCTGGTGTTTGATGAAGGTTGGAATGATTGGCACTTTTTCAGTAGGATACTATTCCTAGCCATTTCATTGTATAGAATGATGACATAATACTGTCATTATAATATCTACCAATGCTGTGTGCAGACAGCATTATGTAACATTGTCAGGTTGTTGCTTGGTGACTATCAACCACCAGGAATACTGATGAGCAAAACACATTCCAAATGTAGCTAATATATTCACTGTCTGAGCTGACATGAACACTGTTTGCTCATACTGCTCTCTAGTGTTCACAAGAGAAAAGTGATATTGGTATTTAGGTATAAATATTTTATTGCCCGTACTAGGGCTGCCCAATATGGGCAAAATATATTTTTTTTAACCAAATATTGTGATTGCGATTTTTCATGCGATACAGATCAAAAAACTTGGGTGAACTGTTGGAATCCTAGAAATAGAATGACCTATGTTGAGAAGCTAAGTGGAAAGTAGCATCGTTCTTGTTTTGAACAATCGGTTGACTGCATTTGACCTACGAGAACAGCATGCAAACTTAAAATGATCTAACAGCGAGGAGGAGGAACTGCGCTGCCTAAGTGACGGGGGCGAGCTTGGTGTGTGCGGGAAGCAGCCACAAGAGGACACTTTTTTTTTGGTGAACTATAAAAAAGGCCATTATGCGGCTGAGATGCGTTTCAAAATATTTCTTGCGATATGAATATTGCACATGTCAATATTGAGATTTCGATGTGAATCCGATTAATTGTGCAGCCCTAGACCCTACTATGAACTCTGCCAAGAGATCTGGTTCATGTTGGCATAGATGGTAGTGCGCTTACCCTGTAACCACAGGTTAATTTGATCCAAACTCCCCTCAACCACAACATAACCGTAAACCTACTGGTGTGTTCTTTAGGCGAGGACCTGGTGGGGGAGTTCCTGTCCATGTTCCTCTGGTCATTGTACTGGCTGTTGGGGCCTTGTGGTGGCCCTGGGGGCCCCGGGGGGCCGGACTGCTCTCTCCAGTGAAACCGTGGGCGGGAGGTGAAGGAGTGGTATCTCTGGAACCCAAAACTGAAGTGGTGCTTCCGGAATGAATGATCGTCCCTTATGAATATGTACAGTAAGGAAAACTGCAGAAAATAAAAAGCGTGAATGAGTGAGTGAGTATTTCTCAGACCTAATCTGAATAGGATGAGTGGGTGAAGTTGTGGAAATGTTGAAATGACCAAGAACAAACCTTAGACTACACAAGGTTGCTCTGAAATGTATTCTGGTATTACCGTGGTCTGTAAAATCTTCCTCCAAACCTCTGCCTAAACGAACCAGTTATTCTGGGTCCAGTCATTCTTCTCAAAGGTCGTTTCTCCTCCTGAAAATGTCACAGAGTAAGCTAATTAGTGTTCATGATGAGAAATTGTATCCATTGTGAGCTCGCTGTAGCCTGGTTGCCGGATCTGTATGCGGTAAATGCCATGGAATTAATATGACAGAGGAGTTGGCTAAAGCACATACAGTTGAAGTCGGAAGTTTACATACACCTCAGAGAGGTTGAGGGTAGAGGAAGTTCAGGAGTAAAAACAAACTAAATATAATTATTGTAAAATTGACTGTGTCCATAAAATTTATATAGTATGTATAAGCTGGAAGTAGAGGCCTAAGCATTGTTGTTCACTAGTTTACTCCAATTAGGGAAGGGGTGGTGGGGTTGGAAAGTAATGAAGGGAAATATATATTTTTTAAGGATATGTATATAAATATGTACGTATATGTATTTATATGTACAGTTGAAGTCGGAAGTTTACATACACCTTAGCCAAATACATTTAAACTCAGTTTTTCACAATTCCTGACATTTAATCCTAGTAAAGATTCCCTGTCTTAGGTCAGTTAGGATCACCACTTTATTTTAAGAATGTGAAATGTCAGAATTATAGTAGAGAGAATGATTTATTTCAGCTTTTATTTCTTTCATCACATTCCCAGTGGGTCAGAAGTTTATATACACTAAATTAGTATTTGGTAGCATTGCCTTTATATTGTTTAACTTGGGTCAAACGTTTCGGGTAGCCTTCCACAAGCTTCCCACAGTAAATTGAGTGAATTTTGGCCCATTCCTCCTGACAGAGCTCGTGTAACTGAGTCAGGTATGTTGGCCTCCTTGCTCGCATACGCTTTTTCAGTTCTGCCCACACATTTTCTATAGGATTTAGGTCAGGGCTTTGTGATGGCCACTCCAATACCTTGACTTTGTTGTCCTTAAGCCATTTTGCCACAACTTTGGAAGTATGCTTGGTGTCATTGTCCATTTGGAAGACCCATTTGCAACCAAGCTTTAACTTCCTGACTGATGTCTTCAGATGTTGCTTCAATATATCCACATAATTTTCCTTCCTCATGATGCCATCTATTTTGTGAAGTGCACCAGTCCCTCCTGCAGCAAAGCACCCCCACAGCATGATGCTGCCACCCCCGTGCTTCACGGTTGGGATGGTGTTCTTCGGCTTGCAAGCGACCCCCTTTTTCCTCCAAACATAACGATGGTCATTATGGCCAAACAGTTCTATTTTTGTTTCATCAGACCAGAGGACATTTCTCCAAAAGGTACGATCTTTGCCCCCATGTGCAGTTGCAAACCGTAGTCTGGCTTTTTTATGGCGGTTTTGGAGCAGTGGCTTCTTCCTTGCTGAGCGGCCTTTCAGGTTATGTTGATATAGGACTTGTTTTACTGTGGATATAGATACGTTGTACCTGTTTTCTCCAGCATCTTCACAAGGTCCTTTGCTGTTGTTCTGGGATTGATTTGCACTTTTCGCACCAAAGTACGTTCATCTCTAGGAGACAGAACGCGTCTCCTTCCTGAGCGGTATGACGGCTGCGTGGTCCCATGGTGTTTATACTTGCGTACTATTGTTTGTACAGATGAACGTGGTACCTTCAGGCGTTTGGAAATTGCTCCCAAGGATGAACCAGACTTGTGGAGGTCTACAATGTTTTTTCTGAGGTCTTGGCTGATTTCGTTTGATTTTCCCATGATGTCAAGCAAAGAGGCACTGAGTTTGAAGGTAGGCCTTGAAATACATCCACAGGTACACCTCCAATTGACTCAAATTATGTCAATTAGCCTATCAGAAGCATCTAAAGCCATGACATCATTTTCTGAAATTTTCCAAGCTGTTTAAAGGCACAGTCAACTTAGTGTATGTAAACGTCTGACCCACTGGAATTGTGATAGTGAATTATAAGTGAAATAATCTGTCTGTAAACAATTGTTGGAAAAATTACTTGTGTCATACACAAAGTACAGTGGGGAAAAAAAGTATTTAGTCAGCCACCAATTGTGCAAGTTCTCCCACTTAAAAAGATGAGAGAGGCCTGTAATTTTCATCATAGGTACACGTCAACTATGACAGACAAATGGAGATTTTTTTTCCAGAAAATCACATTGTAGGATTTTTAATGAATTTATTTGCAAATTATGGTGGAAAATAAGTATTTTGTCACCTACAAACAAGCAAGATTTCTGGCTCTCACAGACCTGTAACTTCTTCTTTAAGAGGCTCCTCTGTCCTCCACTCGTTACCTGTATTAATGGCACCTGTTTGAAGTTGTTATCAGTATAAAAGACACCTGTCCACAACCTCAAACAGTCACACTCCAAACTCTACTATGGCCAAGACTAAAGAGCTGTCAAAGGACACCAGAAACAAAATTGTAGACCTGCACCAGGCTGGGAAGACTGAATCTGCAATAGGTAAGCAGCTTGGTTTGAAGAAATCAACTGTGGGAGCAATTATTAGGAAATGGAAGACATACAAGACCACTGATAATCTCCCTCGATCTGGGGCTCCACGCAAGATCTCACCCCGTGGGGGACCTAGTGAATGACCACACGGGGGGACCTAGTGAATGACCTGCAGAGAGCAGGGACCAAAGTAACAAAGCCTACCATCAGTAGCACACTACGCCGCCAGGGACTCAAATCCTGCAGTGCCAGACGTGTCCCCCTGCTTAAGCCAGTACATGTCCAGGCCCGTCTGAAGTTTGCTAGAGTGCATTTGGATGATCCAGAAGAGGATTGGGAGAATGTCATATGGTCAGATGAAACCAAAATATAACTTTTTGGTAAAAACTCAACTTGTCGTGTTTGGAGGACAAAGAATTCTGAGTTGCATCCAAAGAACACCATACCTACTGTGAAGCATGGGGTGGAAACATCATGCTTTGGGGCTGTTTTTCTGCAAAGGGACCAGGACGACTGATCCGTGTAAAGGAAAGAATGAATGGGGCCATGTATCGTGAGATTTTGAGTGAAAACCTCCTTCCATCAGCAAGGGCATTGAAGATGAAACGTGGCTGGGTCTTTCAGCATGACAATGATCCCAAACACACCGCCCGGGCAACGAAGGAGTGGCTTCGTAAGAAGCATTTCAAGGTCCTGGAGTGGCCTAGCCAGTCTCCATATCTCAACCCCATAGAAAATCTTTGGAGGGAGTTGAAAGTCCGTGTTGCCCAGCGACAGCCCCAAAACATCACTGCTCTAGAGGAGATCTGCATGGAGGAATGGGCCAAAATACCAGCAACAGTGTGTGAAAACCTTGTGAAGACTTACAGAAAACGTTTGACCTGTGTCATTGCCAACAAAGGGTATATAACAAAGTATTGAGAAACTTTTGTTATTGACCAAATACTTATTTTCCACCATAATTTGCAAATAAATTCATTAAAAATCCTACAATGTGATTTTCTGGAAAACATTTTGTCATTTTGTCTCTCATAGTTGACATGTACCTATGATGAAAATTACAGGCCTCTCTCATCTTTTTAAGTGGGAGAACTTGCACAATTGGTGGCTGACTAAATACTTTTTTTCCCCACTGTAGATGTCCTAACCGAAGAAATTTGTGGAGTGGTTGAAAAACAAGTTTTAATGACTCCAACCTAAGTGTATGTAAACTTCCGACTTCAACTGTAGGACTATTGCTAAATTATAAACTTCTTCATAATTATCAGTATTACCAATGACCCTCAACTCGGTATAATAAATGACTTTAAATTCATCATCCTATGTCTCTCGGTTTTCCAGTGTGGGTGATCAAATCACACTAGAAAGTCAGGACAGAGGTCAGAGGTCATTCAAACCCTTCAAAGAAGTGTTTTATTCTATAGTAGACTAATCATTAACAACAGACAAAACATTTCATACATTTTGTATCCCATGTGTACAGTAAGTCCTCATTACATTTCTTCTCAAATGAAATCACGTGTTTACCCAAAACTCACTCAGAAAACAAAAACCTCAGAAAATTCCATGTGTGTGCCCCTTTAAGATATATCATTTCTAACCCGCGAAAACCCCCTAAAATAAAAATAAAAACCCTGTACAATTAACATTTCATAATATGTGGGTAGTGTGTGGCTATTTGAAAACCATATGGTAAAAACCAAACAAAAATGGCCTTATTTAATTTGGTAGCTCCCTTTTATGACCTAATCCGGATATTTTCATACTTATCAAACTGCCGAATGTAACTAACATCTCTTCCCAAGACCACAAACACGGGAACATCTGAAAAATATAATGAAAGCCCCTTTCTCCTGGAAAAGAAAGTTTACAAATGGTTAACATTTACTCTTAATCATCAACAAGCATGGCGACGATAATTCCACTGTCTTCCCTTAACTCATTAATCGTTTGTTTCAATTTAATTCCTCGTGACTACTCCAGAAGAAGATGATATAAAATGATTATTTAACCCCAAAATCGGCTCCATTTCTCCTTATGTCAAACTATCGCGGTATCGTTACTGGATCAACAACATAGTAAATAGCTGTTTCCCCTTATCGACACAAATCAGTTTCTTCAAACATACTCCCCCGGAACAAAAAACAAAAAACGTTTGTTTCCCGGACACTGACCTTCTTGTCATGGGATCCTCAACGGTTCTCTAACCTTCCGGAAACCCCGTCAAAGTCAAGCCTCCCAGAAAATATAGACTTGTCGCTACTCTCTAAAATAACATCACGCTCTCAATATCACTTTGTGAAATACTATGATGGGCATTGCTGAACGGAACCACAAGATAACTTTATATCAAAGCTTATTATCCAAATCTCAATCATCTTATCATACCCATTTCTATATTTTATTACCCAACCTTCAGATTAATACATATTTCCATATTCACACAATACTATTTTCCAAACACACTTAATCAATATTTGTATAACCTGCAGAAATATCTTATTCTATAAAAGGGGCCAAACTTGGAATGTCAATTCCATCACATTAACATTTTACTATAACTGATTTTAGGATTACATATTTTATGAGCCTGACTTCCATAACATTCTATAAATAACCAATCATATATGTCACTATCATCGTCAATTGTGATTGTCTTGCCAGATTCAGGTCTACTAAGTTGACTCCCCATATTTATATATTAATTCATGCAATGTTAGTAATTAAATATTTGAATCAAATCCCCACCTTTGTCTATTTATTCATTGGTGCCATAATCCATATGTTAAATTGTATCTGCTCGATTCTTTATGCCGTATGAGTTATTGTTTTCACTCTCTCCTGACCATTTTGAGTAATTCACAAAGGACTAATTCACTCTTCACCACGATACTCTAACTCTCAGAGGACTGAACATAGGCCTCAAACCCATTCTTTATGATGCTTATAAACATCAAAGGACTCTAACCTTCAACAAATCTTGTTGAGGACTTGAACCTCTTAACAACTTTATAAAGATTTTTCACATTAAAGGACTCAAACCTCACAACTTTCTATCTTTATAATGTCGTACACATTAAAACGCCCAATCTTGTTTAACCCACTCTCCTTCTCCTCTGTTGTTTTTACTCATTACTCTGAACACACCCTGTTTTGAATCATAGCACCATGCCATTGTCTAATTTGATATTTCTCCTTACATATGTTTACATACTGGAATACCACCCATCTATTCCCCTAAAAAAAATACATTTTAAACGTTCGTTACAGCTCAGCTTTACCACAGATAAGCAGAATTTGACATAATAAAAAAAAAAATAGTCTGCTTACCTGTTAGTTCAGCTGTAAACTGCATCCTGTTCGTTTAGACGCCAATCTGTTATGATGAGTTTCTCTGGCATCAAGTAATTCAGTATGCAAGAAGATACTTAAACACTTAGATGGAGAGTTGATGCAAAATATTTAATATTACAGTACCGGATTCAACATGACAAGCGGCACGTGAGTAGCCTATTGCCATTTGAATTACTTACATTGAAAAGCTCTCAGTTTATATACTGATTTGCGATATATAAAAATATATTATCATCCAATAGGCTTTGATTTAATTTCCAATATCCTCGCCCACGTGGAAATTCAGTAAGAGTAATGTAGATGCCAATTATTTGATTGTCCGACCCCATTCTGTCCCCTATCAACACATTTTTAACTTTTGGTGCCAACGAGAATGAAATAAGAAAGAAGTCAAGACGACTAGCTTGATTGAGTCTCCGCCATGTATATCTCACTAGATCAGGATATTTAAGCCTCCATATATCTACTAGTTCTAATGTATCCATGACATTCACGATTTCCTTAAGAGCATGTGGGTGATTGTTTGTGGTGTGATTTCCTTTACGGTCCATTGAGCTATTTAAAACAGTATTATAATCCCCCACCATAATAATATTGTCTTGAATTGCTTGCAGGGTTGATAATTTATTATATATTTTTTCAAAGAAGTGTGGATCATCATTATTTGGTCCGTAAAGGTTAATGAGCCATATCTGTTTATGGTCCAATAACATATTTAAAATAATCCATCTACCTTGCGTATCTGTTTGGACAATTTGCACATTCGGATCGAAATTACTATTAATTAATATCATCACCCCTTTTGAATTTCTTTGCCCATGGGAGAAGTATATTTCGCCCCCCCATTCCTTTTTCCCCGCAACTTCATCTAGAATTGTTGAATGAGTTTCCTGTAAACAATAGATATTATATTCCTTCTCTTTGAGCCTTGTAAATATTGTTCTTCTTTTGTTATTATCAGCTAAGCCATTACAATTATAACTGGCTATACTTATTTTACCATACACCATAATGAGATACAAGTTTCAAGTCTATTTATCATTATATATGTTTGTAAATTTACCAATAAAAAAATACCGTCATGATTGAGTGTCCATATAGCTGTACCGTGATATTTGCATTGCTACTAAGTAACCCTTCAATTGTTCTCCACTAATTCCCCCGCTAAAGCCCCTCCCCATCCCAAGTTGAGCCGTCATCCCAGTAATCGCCACCTGACTGTCTTTCTCCTCCTCCTTCACTTGAACTCTCTCTACATTCGACTTCTTCTTCTTCCCTTTGCCAGTCTTCTTTGCCTCGTTATCCTAGGAGTGGTAGATGGAGGATTATTGTAGTGTCTGATATCTAGATGTGCAGGTTGTAAAAGGTGTACATACGGTCTATTACACTCCCGCCTCATAAACGTCATCTTGTTTGATACCTACAACCTAACTCCGTTTCAGTTGTAGTTTCACATGGCGAAACAAAGGTAAAACATATTCCCTTTACATAGCTCAACTCCATTTATCATCAAGTCCGCATCATCACCTACCTGTTGGGCCTCTCTTGCCCCTCCTTGGAGGAGCTTTCTGCTGGCTGTTGTCAGGGGGGAGATGGGGGCCAGATGGGGGCAGCGGCGGAAATGGAGGTACTCCGGCTGTGCTGCAGTAGTAACCAGCGGAGAGAGGCCGGTCCGGGCAGACTGAGTTCTGGGCTGTTCTCCTTCCATGGAGGTCTGGAGCATGTTGTTGATCGTGATGTCCCACAGAATGCCTATCTTGTCCAGTATCTCATTTTACATTTACATTTTAGTCATTTAGCAGACGCTCTTATCCAGAGCGACTTACAGGAGCAATTAGGGTTAAGTGCCTTGCTTAAGGGCACATCGACAGATTTTTCACCTAGTTGGCTCGGGGATTAGAACCAGCGACCTTTCGGTTACTGGCACAACGCTCTTACCCACTAAGCTATCTCCTCAGTACGCCTCTGGTAGACCGACTCCAAGCCCTGCAGCAGGCTGGTCAACATCTTCCGGTCCTGGGCTTCCCTATTCCTGTTCTGCTCAAAGTCGTTCTTCATATCACGCTCAATATCGGCCATCATCAAGCACATCTGCATCTTCACCTCCTTGCGAATAGTCTCTAAGCCATCCTCCTCCTCACTTCCTCCTCACTCGCTTCCTCCTCACTCCCCTCTTCATCCTCCTTCTCCACCTTCTCTTCCTCTGTATCTCCCTCTTCATCCTCACTCTCCTCTTCACTCTCCTCCTCTCCCACCTCCTCTTCACTCTTCTCTCCCTCTCCTCCTCCTCCTCCTCTTCCCCACCTTCTTCCCTCTTGCTTTCCTCCTCCTCCCTTCAGATCTTCAACTTCTCCATCCATCTTTTATCTGCTCTTCTCTCTTTTTCTGTCTCTCTCTTCACCTGGTTTAGACTGTGGTGGTCCCTCTCTCTGCGTTGCCGTCTACCTTCCAGGCCCTCTCTAACCCTCTCCAGCTCCAGCTCCAGGTCATGTTGCAGGACAACTATCCCCTGGTGGGTCAACCTCAGGGTCTCTGCTCTGAACTGGGCCCAGTGTCTTGCCCTGATCTGACAGTCCCTGCTCAGGTAGAAGCGCTTCTTTAGGGTATCCAAAAGGCGAGGGAGGGGCAGGTCACGGTCTTTGTCCTCATCTCCATCCTTATCTACCTGGATCTATGGTCAAACATAGTGACAAGTTGAGACAGGCACATTTTTATCAAATGGTGTTGGAAAAGGAGATCATGCACACACACACACACACACGTCCGTACAGGCGCAGGCACAAACATCATGGGTATGTTACCTGTTGTTGGCCCTGGGCAGAGGCCCCTTCTACATCCTCTACCTCCTTTGGGGGAACTGGACATTCCTTGTCAGGAGAGTCCTCAACAATCTGTTTATCGCATTCAGAGTCTGAAGGTCAGAGCTCGATTCTCCATATTCAGACAGTTACACAAAGACGTGTGGTACTGATCTCTTACCAGTGGTTCACAGACAGGTTGGGTGTTCACATAGGCATTCTACAGGGAATCCTCAGGGTTCAAGAGGAGGATGACTGTGTTGTGTTCTTCTACCTGGGTTTGTGTGGACATTTTGTGACGAACATACTGGTACAGTGAGGGAAAAAAGTATTTGATCCCCTGCTGATTTTGTTTGCCTACTGACAAAGAAATTATCAGTCTATAATTTTAATGGTAGGTTTATTTGAACAGTGAGAGACAGAATAACATCAAAAAAATCCAGAAAAAACGCATGTCAAAAACGTTATAAATTGATTTGCATTTTAATGAGGGAAATAAGTATTTGACCCCCTCTCAATCAGAAAGATTTCTGGCTCCCAGGTATCTTTTATACAGGTAACGAGCTGAGATTAGGAGCATACTCTTAAAGGGAGTGCTCCTAATCTCAGCTTGTTACCTGTATAAAAGACACCTGTCCACAGAAGCAATCAATCAATCAGATTCCAAACTCTCCACCATGGCCAAGACCAAAGACCTCTCCAAGGATGTCAGGGACAAACTTGTAGACCTACACAAGGCTGGAATGGGTTACAAGACCATCGCCAAGCAGCTTGGTGAGAAGGTGACAACAGTTGGTGCGATTATTCGCAAATGGAAGAAACACAAAATAACTGTCAATCTCCATCGGCCTGAGGCTCCATGCAAGATCTCACCTCGTGGAGTTGCAATGATCATGAAAACGGTGAGGAATCAGCCCAGAACTACACGGGAGGATCTTGTCAATGATCTCAAGGCAGCTGGGACCATAGTCACCAAGAAAACAATTAGTAACACACTACGCTGTGAAGGACTGAAATCCTGCAGCGCCCGCAAGGTCCCCCTGCTCAAGGAAGCACATATACAGGGCCGTCTGAAGTTTGCCAATGAACATCTGAATGATTCAGAGGAGAACTAGGTGAAAGTGCTGTGGTCAGATGAGACCAAAATGGAGCTCTTTGGCATCAACTCAACTCACCGTGTTTGGAGGAGGAGGAATGCTGCCTATGACCCCAAGAACACCATCCCCACCGTCAAACATGGAGGTGGAAACATTATGCTTTGGGGGTGTTTTTCTGCTAAGGGGACAGGACAACTTCACCGCATCAAAGGGACGATGGACGTGGCCATGTACCGTCAAATCTTGGGTGAGAACCTCCTTCCCTCAGCCAGGGCATTGAAAATGGGTCGTGGATGGGTATTCCAGCATGACAATGACCCAAAACACACGGCCAAGGCAACAAAGGAGTGGCTCAAGAAGAAGCACATTAAGGTCCTGGAGTGACCTAGCCATTCTCCAGACCTTAATCCCATAGAAAATCTGTGGAGGGAGCTGAAGGTTTGAGTTGCCAAACGTCAGCCTCAAAACCTTAATGACTTGGAGAAGATCTGCAAAGGGGAGTGGGACAAAATCCCTCCTGAGATGTGTGCAAACCTGGTGGCCAACTACAAGAAACGTCTGACCTCTGTGATTGCCAACAAGGGTTTTGCCACCAAGTACTAAGTCATGTTTTGCAGAGGGGTCAAATACTTATTTCCCTCATTAAAATGCAAATCAATTTATAACATTATGCGTTTTTTCTGTATTTTTTTGTTGTTATTCTGTCTCTCGCTGTTCAAATAAACCTACCATTAAAATTATAGACTGATCATTTCTTTGTCAGTGGGCAAACGTACAAAATCAGCAGGGGATCAAAATCAAATACTTTTTTCCCTCACTGTAAGTGCAGACAGGACGGTTTTAGTAATATGCAATTGATGTGAAAATACAGCCATACTGACATTTTTTTGTCCTCGGTTGAAGCCTGTTCTATATTCTTGGGTTCCTTTGGAGGAACTGGACTTTCCTTTACAGTAGCTTCCTCAAAGTCCTCAACATCCTTAATAATCTGTGTGTCAGAGAATCAGCTGATCAGAACTCATCTCCACACAGGCAGTTACACAAAGACATGGGTGGCACTGATCTCTTACCAGTGGTTTGCAGACAGGTGGGGTATCCACAGCCAGGGCATTCTTTTCCTGCACCTCCTCCTCACACACTTCCTTCCATGCCGCCTGTCCATCCTCATATATATGCACGCATGACTGTAAATCGCTTTGGATGAAAGCGACAGCTAAATAACATATATTATCCTATGGGCTGGTTGGGCGGATGACCTTGTCCCCAGAGGACCTCTGCTTCTCCTCACTGCCCTCTATGCTGTCCGGGATGGGCTACTGTGGAACATAAGTGCTGTTGTCAGTCAACCTGTGAGCTCTTACTGTAGTTCATTTGTCTGATGATGCAACGTTGAGTATAATAAATTATGATTAATCTGATTATTAATCAATGTGTTCCTTCAACATTGTTGGCACTGTTGAATCTACCTATTTTACTTAATTTGTAACTAAGGCTGGAGGAACACCTCACAAAGTCTGGATTCTTCTTTAACAGAGCAGAACCTAGTTATCACAAATGGACACATACAGTGGAAAATCTACCCCACTAGAGGCAGCTAATTTCCTATGAGAAGAGTATTGAGAGCGCAGAAGGTTCTCTTCCACAAGGCAGCAAATAACCCAACGGGAGTTGAATATTTTGACCTTCTATTCTCGTACCAGGCCAAAGGACAACTCAACAATTGTCTTTTCTCCAATGAGGGTAAAAATCACATGGGGCAATTGTGAAACAGTTCACCACTCTCAACCCCACACAGGCCTCACCTACACTCCAAATAGTAAAGTATGTCTCTCTCTCTTGTTATCACCCCCTCTCCCTTCCTCTTCTCCCTGATAGTGTGTGTGTGGCAGGTAGATAGTATGTCGATATACACTATATATACAAAAGTATGTGGACACCCTTCAAATTAGTGGATTCGGCTATTTCAGCCACACCCGTTGCTGACAGGTGTATAAAAATCGAGCACACAGCCACGCACTCTCCACAGACAAACATTGGCAGTAGAATGGCCTTACTGAAGAGCTCAGTGACTTTCAACGTGGCATCATCATAGGATGCAAGCTTTCCAACAAGTCAATTCGTCAAATTTCTGCCCTTCTAGAGCTGCCCCGGTCAACTGTAAGTGCTGTTATTGTGAAGTGGAAAGTTTAGGAGCAACAACGGCTCAGCTGCGAAGTGATAGGCCACACAAGCTCACAGAACGGGAACGGCGAGTGCTGAAGCACGTAGCGCATAAAAATTGTCTGTCCTGGGTTGCAACACTCACTATCGAGTTCCAAACTGCCTCTGGAAGCAACGTCAGCACAATAACTGTTAGTCGGGAGCTTCATGAAATGGGTTTCCATGGCCGAGCAGCCGCACACAAGTCTAAGATCACAAGCCAAGTGTCGGCTGTGTAAAGCTCGCCGCCATTGGACTCTGGAGCAGTGGAAACACATTCTCTGGAGTGATGAATCACGCTTCACCATCTGGCAGTCCGACGGACGAATCTGGGTTTGACGGATGCCAGGAGAACGCTACCTGCCCGAATGCATAGTGCCTACTGTAAAATTTGGTGGAGGAGGAATAACGGTCTGGGGCTGTGTTTCATGGTTCGGGCTAGGCCCCTTAGTTCCAGTGAAAGGAAATCTTAACGCTACAGCATACTGTACATTCTAGATGATTCTGTGTTTCCAACTTTGTGCCAATAGTTTGGGGAAGGCCCTTTCCTGATTTAGCATGACAATGCTCCCATGCACAAAGCGAGGTCCATACAGAAATGGTTTGTCAAGATCGGTGTGGAAGAAATTGACTGGCCTGCACAGAGCCCTGACCTCAACCCCATCGAACACCTTTGTGATGAATTGGAATGCCGATTGTGAGCCAGGCCTAATCGCCCAACATCAGTGCCCGACCTCACTAATGCTCTTGTCGCTGAATGGAAGCAACATGTTCCAACATCTTGTGGAAAGCCTTCGCAGAAGAGTGGAGGCTGTTATAGCAGCAAGGGGGGGGGGGGCACTCCATATTAATGCCCATGATTTTGGAATGAGATGTTCGACAAGCAGGTGTCCACATACTTTTGATAATGTAGTGTACCTGCTGACATTCACTACTGACATTTTAACATCTTCAGTTTGTTCAATTTGAGATATTCAAGATTCCTGTTAACGCTGGTAACTACTGACATATCATATCAAAAAGAAATACCAATTATCTTGAATGCTTTTGAATGTATTGGACATCCTTGTCAAACCATGAGGAAATAGGTATTTGCAATAATTATAGGTATACTGGTAACTCAATACTTGCGTAAGGCTGTGGCTTGTATTACCTTTTGCTCTTTCTCTCCTGATCCATTTTGAGATCTAGGTTGGAAGAGCACTGGTTATAAGCAGAAACCACCCACAAACCTTGAGGAAATTATCATTAGGTACTCATTATAAATGTCTCAATTGTATCTACTCATGGCATGGACACTTTCCCTGCTAGAATGAGATGCACATTTGAAAATACTTGGGATGCTGTAACCGTGACTACCTAGCATTAGAATTTGTATTTGTAGAACTAATGCTAATTATTAATTTTCTACCCCCTTCTTCTCCCTAATTTTGTGATATCCAATTGCGATCTTGTCTCATCGCTGCAACTCCCCAACGGGCTCCGGAGAGGCGAAGGTCGAGTCATGTGCTCCTTAACACCCGCCCGCTTAACCCAGAAGCACCAATGTGTTGGAGGAAACACTGTTCAACTGACAACCAAAGTCAGCCTGCAGGCGCCCGGCCCGCCATAAGGAGTCCCTAGAGCGCGATGAGCCAAGTCTACTGTGTAGGTCCTCTCTTGATTGGAGTGGTAAAGACAGGTTACCTAGCAGGATATTAAGGTGCACAGCTGTGTATTATTAAATTTTATAGGTACTATTCATGAGCAATGAGTGGAATTAAACGTGGCAGCATTACAATAAATCTTCCTAAAGAATATCAAATAAACACATTATCCAGAGCCACATACCTTCCTTAAGTATTTGTTTCTTTCTCTCCGCCCCTTTAGTCTCTGTCTCCACCCACCCCTCTCTCCCTACCACCTTTCAGAGAGAGAGCGAGAGAGAAATATTAAAATGTGGTGGTTCGGATAATTGGAGCCAGGTAACTTGACAGGATAGAACACATCGAAGGGAAGGGAGCCCTGGTTGCTCTCTAAACTCTTTCTCACTTAAAGGAACACTTACAAAGGTAATAGTAAAATAAGAAATAATGTGTTGGGGTTGCTCACCCCCTCTGGGCTGTACATTTGTTTTGTGTTGTAGACCTGTTGGTGCCGGTTTTTTCTAGTGTTCTTAGGTTGGTGATGAATGCGTTTTGTGTTTGTGTCAGACAGTGTTCAACAGGAAGTGTTTTGGGTGCTAGCAGTTGATTATGCAACCTTATTCTGTAGGCTATATTTTACTTTGTTCTATAGTGTTATATATATATATTTTTTAAATGGTGTAATATGAGACATTCTTACTGCCTCTGAGCTCCTTGAACAAATTCAAACCATCCTGTGTAAGAATGTTAGGCTTCCTGTGCCACCCAACATTTGTTCTATATTAATATACATCTGCATATTTGTGTGTGTTTTATGAAAGTATTTGTTGTGTGTTTGTGTTTGGTTTGACATTGTCTTTTTGGTGAGCCAAATTCCTCTTTAACTAGCAAGGGAAGGGTCCGTAACTTCAGTTTAGTTCTCCATTCAAGTTAGACTTTTTTGACCATGGCATGGTAATCACAGAGGCTTTGCCTCTTTCTTCCACATGATCAGTGCTGCAGAAGCCTCTCGTCCAGGATTTGGCCCTGCGATCATCTGGTCTGTTATTCTACCACTACCCAACAAAACCCCACAAGTCTGAACCCCACTACGCTACACACTCCTGTTCTTGGTTACCAGAAGAAGCTTTGCCTAATCTCTGCACCTGTAACAAAACATGAGGTGAGGAACTTTGAATGTCACTGAGTGAGTGGATTGAATAACTTAAGTCTTTGTTGAAATGGTATGCAAGAGAAAAGTAACTATTGATTGGCCGATTGAATGCTGTTAGAACTGTTTTAGCCTATTGTTGCTTCCTCAAGTCCAACCCAGAAGCATGGAATGATGGCATTAAGTACATTCTGGTCCTCTGTAGCTCAGCTGGTAGAGCACGGCGCTTGTAACGCCAAGGTAGTGGGTTCGATCCCCGGGACCACCCATACACAAAAAAAAAAATGTATGCATGCATGACTAAGTCGCTTTGGATAAAAGCATCTGCTAAATGGCATATTATTATTATTATTATTATTAAAGTCACTTGGAAGAATGCCACTTTGAGGAAAATTGGAGCTCAATTTAAAAAGTTGTTTAAAGAGTGTTTATTGACTGAGGATTGTTGCCATATTTCCATATAGGGTACGGGTGTTCTCGCGGGCACATTTACTACAGGAATTCCGTTTGTGCTGTCAATCACTCGCTGCCAAGGACAACAGTGGTTTCCGGCAGAAGTTTGAGGTAAACCAATATCAACCAGTCTTCTATTGAGTAATACCCTGGCTCTGTAATTTCCCAACTCCAGTCCTCCAGTACCCCAACAGCAAACATTTTTGTTGTAGCCCCAGACAAGCACACCTGATTCAACTTGTCAACTAATCATCAAGCCCTCAATGAGTTGAATCAGGTGAGTTTGTCCAGGGCTACAACAAAAATGTGTGCTGTTGGGTGTGATCGAGGACTGGAGTTGGGAAACAGAGTATTGAGCCTTGGAGTCCTAGGGCAGTGTCTGCTGTGGCAGTAGAGTCCCACATTCATAGAGTCCCTTCAGTTGCTGTTTTTTTATTGTTCAGGAGCTGAATGATGTTGGTAAAGAGTTCACTACCAGGGCTGGAGAACTGGAGGCCAACAGAGAGAAGAACAGATACCCCTACATACTGCCTTGTGAGTATCATGGTACATACCATATCAGGGCACCACCACATGCTACCCCTGAGTAATAGGAATGTATTACCATGATCATATGACCTGCTGTATCTAAGCACATAAACATTATCCCATGTGTGGTAATGCTTCCCATTTTCTGATCACTTTGATTAATGGTCCCTGTGGTTTCAGATGACCACAGTCGAGTGAGGCTGTCCCTGCTAGACTCCCAGCTACACTCAGATTATATCAACGCTAGTTATGTCCCTGTGAGTACTCTCTGTCTGTCTGTCGCTGTATGTCTGACCGTCTATCCATTCATCAAGTCTGCTGTCTGTCTGTCTGCTCCTCAGGGTGGATGTACAGAGCGAGACTTCATCTGTACCCAGGGTCCTTTGCGCAGCACCATGGCTGACTTCTGGAGGATGGTGTGGGAGCAGAATGTTAGGATCATCGTCATGGTGACCGCCCTGACACAGAAAGACATGGTGAGTGAGGGATTTGATGGGGATGGGACACTGAACAATTCTCAAATGTATAAAACCTTCATGGGTAACATGTTGACTACATTCACAGCATCAAGTTTGACCCATAGACTTGCATAGTTCTTCTGGTTTTATATTGCTCTCAATGCCACCCATGAAGTTATGGAAGAGTCTTCGTAAGCATATTCTTGCCCCTGTTGATGTGGGTGCTGCACAGAGTGGGTCTATCTATCAACAATTGGTCATAGTGTCACATTTCCTGCTGTGCACGCAGTAGTTTGTATACTGTTTGTTAGTTAGACCATGTGTTGTCCATGTTTCTCCAGGTGCTGTGTGATGAGTACTGGCCAATGGCGCAAGGGACGGTGTCGTATGGAGTGGTCCAGGTTACCACAGTGTCTCGTAAACGGGGTCCAGATTATTTCATCACCACCATTCACTTACGACAGGTGAGGCCTAGGTCCTGACATATCCTAGTTGTCCTATGTTATTGTAACAAAGACTATTAGTCTCAGCCACTGGTTAACAGATTTAAGACTATTAGTCTCAGCCACTGGTCAACAGATTTAGGCTATTTCCAAGATTAATCGTGTCTGTGTGTGGTACAGATAGTGTGTGTGGTTGTTCTGGTGGTGTGGTTGTGCTGATAGTGTGTGTGTCTGTGTTTCAGCGCGGTTTTCCCGTAGAAAGGACAGTAACGCACTACTACTACCCTGCCTGGCCAGACCAGGGTGTACCCAAGGACCTCTCCTCTCTCTGTGCCTTCACCGAGCATGTGCGGCAGCATCTGGACACACTACCACTTCTGGGACCTGCCGTGGTGCACTGCAGGTTTGACCGCTCACCCCTGACCCCAACTCACCTAGTTAGCAAACTGTCTCACAATTTTTGTTTTGTGTGTGATTTTTGGCCTTGATATTTCTGTGACAGAAACGTTAATAAATGTTCAATTTGCAAGTATACAGTGTGCAGCACTGTCTGTTTTTTGTTTGTTTATTAACTGCAAAAATAGCTCAATGCCAGTGTGCGTCACTGTAAAACATTTAAATCATAGTCATTGTGCTGGTGTTGGTTCCTTAACATTTGCAGATATGTTTGTATGAATCTCAGTTGAGATGATATCTCTAAAGTGTGTGTGTCTCAGTGCAGATTATACCTTTTTTCAATCCTGTTTGTATCGCTCTCTCTCAGTGCAGGTGTGGGGCGGTCTGGGACGTTTGTAGCTCTGCTGTGGCTGATGCAGCTGTGTGTGCGTGGCATCAGGCCTGACGTTAGAGCAGCCGTGGAGGACCTGAGACGGCACAGAGTCATGATGGTCCAGAACCTGGTCAGTCCACAACTACCCAGAATATTGATGATTAGCTGAATCAGGTGTGTTAGTACTGGGATATAAACTAAAATGTGCACTCATATAGATAGAAACCCTGCCCCAGGAAAGTGATTCATTAGGATAGATAACTGAAGGCCTGGAGACAAACTTATTTTGATGCTGCATTGAAAGTAGTTTGTCTCTTGGCCCCCCCGTTTATTAAGTTGTGATAATGGTTCCTGATGACATACTAGTACAACTTGAGGTTATATAACACTTCAAAAAAGGAAAGGGCAGCTGAAGGCTCCTCTCTGCTGGCAAGTTTCTACCCCCAGATCAAGAGCTCAGTTTGTCACAATGTTCCCTTCCAGTGAAATACACCACAATCATCATGTCATCTTCATTAGCTGCAGAATGTTCTCAACGTTGTGTTCCCTCACTGTGTGTACCCAGGAGCAGTATATACTGGTTCATCAGTGTCTGATGCACTGGCTGAGTGGAGGGAGTGTTGGGCCTCTAGTAAGGTGAGAGCACAAAGCAAACAGTCAAGTATTATACTTTTTTTTTTTTTTTGCATATGTTCATGTTTCAGAGGGGAACAATGTCTATTGAAACGGACAGACAGTATCATATTACACTGTGCTATTTCATTCAGCTGGCTATCAGAACTCTTAATTTCTCAGCAGTGTACAGATTCAGGCTGGCCCTGCTCATGTCGATCGGGGGCAGGATCACCCCCTCACTTCCTCAGGGCGATCAGGTCGGGGGAACAGGTCGAGTGGGGGGAACAGGTCGAGTGGGAGGCACAGGCAGCACCAGGAACAGCACACACAACATCCAGTCCAAACCCAACCACAAACCCAGAGCTCCTCGCAACAGTTGTTCAACCCTAGGAACTTGCTAAGAAGACTGCTGCCCTCCTTTATGCATATTAATCCACAAACACACACCTGAGGACTAATCGCACAAATGCAGACACACCCTACACCTTCATCCGCATTTACACACCAATCTATAGACACACCCTCATCCTCACTCAGTCACACACCTGGGGGGGCCAACTCAGTCTGAACACACAATAGTACAGACATACCTGTATCTACACGTGAAGCCACACATCCAAACTTAGCCAAGTGGGAATGGGTTGACTTATTCCTCTCCAACACACCTGGGGATGGGGAAGATGTCCTGACCTAGGGACTACTGTACATTGTGTGATTACACATAACAAGGCCTTTGATTGAGTGGGAAGGGGACTTCCCCTGGGGGATGACTGTGTGTGTGTGTGTGTCAAAAGACCGACAAAGGAGGCAGCCGCAACAACTGCTCCATCTATTTCCTGGATCAGTCCGACAGACACAGACAGAGAAGAACATGCCCCTCCGGTTGAACCTGTTCCTCCAGGCTGGATTACCGACCATGAAGAACTATTAAGGCCTGAGGTAATGGGGGAGATATGCACTTCATCACTAATGGTGCGGTGACACACACATCTATTGTCATGAATGCCTGACTACAAACCCAAGATTGTCCCTATGTACAAGGCTGCAGCAATTTTGAAATCCATTTAAAAACCATAGTGTGCTGGAACAAGATTTGTACGTTGTATGATGATTTACATTGTTACTTTTGTACATATGTGTGTCTCTGACTGCTTGTTTATCTTCCCGGTGAAAATGGCCTCTACCACAATTTAGACCCTTGATTTACGTTAGGAAAATTCAATGAAAAATATTTTGAACTATTTTGTGCAGAAACTAAGCACTATTGTTCATGTTATCTCTAGAGAAAAAGACAAACGCGTGGTGAGTCACTGTACAAAAAAGGTTGATTGAAAAACGCAGAGGCAACGTCATTCTCCATAAATGACTGTGACAGCATTTACAGAACATAAAGTAGACCTTGAAATATAGAAAATAAACAGAACAGTGGATGAAAACCCACATATATTGTCTGTTTCATTCATCATGAGCAGTACACTATGTGGCCATGAGTTTTTCCTGCTCAGGTCACAGGTTCAGGAGGAACTCCTGGCCGTAACTAACTGTAATTAGAGCCAGGAGTTTTCTCAGACCCTATAACCTGGCCAGGGAAAACTCCTGGTCCTATGATGTATAATACACGTGCTACCGAGTGCACTACTTTATCAAGTACTATTACTGCTGTTAAACTCCCTATGGTAGCTTCAGGTAACTGTAGGCTGTGTTGAGGTCATAGAGAAGGATAAAGACCTCTAGTGGCCAAAAGGCTGTATTAGCATGGGCAGCGCCATTGAGAGCTTCCACCATTTTAATGTAGTGAATTAGGTGGGACTTCCAACTTCATTGACTGATCAATCCTGGTGACCCTATTGGATTCATGTCCAACCCGGTCATCAGGCGGGATCAGCCAATCAGAAAGAAGAAAATTGACTATTTCAAAATGGAGATAGCCACTGGCACTTCCCTTGCTGTCAGATGCTATAATGGCACAGATGCAAAGATGAGTCTTCTATCTAGCTCAATGGTTGAGGTCCATGTAAGAAAGTGGTTTAATAGTCAACAATGACTAAGCCTGGGTCGTGTTCAGAAGCACACAACGTAGCAAAACATTTAACAGAAAGCAAAAGTCAGTGTTCTTTTGACAAGTTTATGTGGCACCCCTTCATTCACTGCCTGCCACTGTGGTGATAGTCCGTTAGGGGGCACAACAGCCCGAGCACCATTCAGTCAGTTCACTGTGCCTCCAGTCAGTTCAATAAGGTAATCACAGGTCTGTTAAGTCCAGTATCACACAGAGTAGAAGAGGAAAACAAAGAGAGTAAAGCCCATCCTGATTGTGAACTTTCAGGTGAGTCCATATATACACCTGTTCACGGCTGGACAACACTGAGATCAGGAAAACAATTAAGAGGTAATGCAACAGAGGGGTACTCATGACAATGAGAAAGAAGCAGCAGTGAGCAAGTCTAGTTAACACCAGCAACATAAAAAAATATATATACATGTATTTTACAGAATAAAACAGAGGAGAAATGCATATATCCCTCAGTCTCTTGGTGAACAGAAAATAACAATTACAACAGTAATGCTTAAATGAATCTTGTTCTGGACACAGCTCTGTAATGGTCACTAGCTGGCACAACCACAAAGGCATAACATCTGATTTTAAACTTAACCCCACTGCTAACCCTAACACTTAAATTAAGACCAAAAATATTTTTTTTTACAATATAGCCAATTTTGACTGCAGCTGGCCTATCTAAGGTGAAATCATTCAGTTCTGCCTCCAGGGCAAAACTCATGACATCACCCTGCACCTACTTCCTTTGGCAAAAATATTTGATGGTAGGGATGTGTATCTAAGGCTGCGTTTACAAAGGCAGCCCAATTCTGATCTTTTGCTCAACAATTGGCAAAATAACTGATCTGATTGGTCAAAAAAACAATTAGAAATCAATTTAAAAAATATGTGAATTGGGCTGCCTGTGTAAATGCAACCTAAGGCTTGCAAGCGGTATTCTCTGTATAGATGAAGGTCCAGTATGCATTTTGGGATGTGCATATACACTGAGTGTACAAAACATTAGGAACACCTGCTCTTTCCATGACAGACTGACCAGGTGACAGCTATGATCCCTTATTGATGTCACTTGTTACATCCACTTCAAAATCAGTGTAGAAGGAGAGACAGGTTAAAGAAGGATTTTTAAGCCTTGAGACAGATTGTGTATGTGTGCCATTCAGAGGGTCAATGGGCAAGACAAAATATGTAAGTGCCGTTGAACAGAGTATGGTAGTATGGTGCCAGGCACATGGGTTTGAATGTGTCAAGATCTGCAACGCTGCTGGGTTTTTCCATTCTCAACAGTTTCCCCTGTGTATCAAGAATGGCCTGAGGGCAAAAGAGGGTGCAACTCAATATGAGGAAGGTGTTCCTAATGTTTTGTACACTCTGTATGCGCTATAAAACAGTCCTTCCCAACCCTCTTCTCGGGGACCACCAGATGTTTCAACTTTTTGTTTTAGCCCTAAAAACCGGCACACCAGATTCAATTAGTCAAGGGAATGATGATTAGCAGACTAATTTAATCAGGTGTGACAGTTTAAGGCTACAACAAAAATGTGAAATGTCTGGTCGTCCCCGAGGAGAGGGTTGGGAAATCCTGCTATACACAGACAATCAACAAATACATACATTTAAACGCCCACACCAATAGAAATCCACTTTTTCGGGCTGAAAGACGATCACCAGAGCTTACCCATGATGTTGCACAACGATGTAAATCAATAAGTCATCATTTTAGTCAAAGTATGATATTTGGGCTTGAAGTAGCAAAACCGAATGTGTGACTTCGGTTACATGCATTTTTCTATGAGATGACGCGCAAATAATGATCAGCCTCCGTTTTGCTTCAGGGCTGGGTTTTATTGAAATGTTACCACCTACCAGCATGGCAATGTTTATTAAGCAGAAACACCTGCTGCAAAGTTCTTCCTATTCGAGTCGTCAGAGCCAAACAGCTTTTCTCTGTAGCCTACACTTGAGTTTCCACTAGATAAAAACAGCCACAAAGTCAAAATGGGCTATATCGTACAAATACATGAAAACAAAAATGAGCTTTTTGATCTTAATTTAAGGTTAGCAGTGTGGTTAAGGTGACAGGTTTAAAATCAGATTTTAAGATAATGTTGAAACAGACAGGATTTATTACTTTGTGGCTGTGTTAACTAGTGACGACCCTACACTTGGCCGCCTTGCCACGGAGCAAATTAAAATAAGGGGTGAAAACTAATGTTTTTACCAGCAAATTATCATAATCCATTGGATAATTTGTCAAGTTTCAATTATTTGAGCCGTCAGGAGGGATGGGCCAATGAATTATAGGCCTACTCGTGAACAAACATTCCATAACTGCAGGTGGCAGTAAATCGCCAACCTTGGCTTTATACTGTTCAAACAGCACACTCCGGGTGGCAGTATGCACCCTTTCAGTTTGTTTGCCAACTCATAGAAGTAGTAGAAGAAGAAAATGTACTACTTCAAAATGGAGATGGCCTCAATGGCCCTGCCCGTGCTCTCAGCGACGCCATAATGATGCGATGTCTAAGTCAATGGTCAATCCCCTCCTCCTCCAGTCCTGCTAATGTATGTTGGCAACAGCTTCCTGGATCTCTCTCACTATGAGGCAGCGAGCAAGGATGTGCTCCATCTGCTCTCTGTTGATTGGCTGGGTGGAGTACCACAGGGGGCTGTTGGGCGCCACCACGGGTTCAGGGTTCAGGTAGAAGGCGTCGTTACGGCCTTTAGCACTCTGTGGACTGAGAGAGAGGTTAGTATTATGTGACAAATGGAAAAAAATCCTTAACGTTTAAACTGCCATTTATCGGTTTAACATTCAAAACAATTCATCAAATATAAAATGGGAAATCCTATTGAGTGGTATGACTGCTAGGGGCAATGAAGTTCTACCGCAGTAGTCGGGGTAGCTATTGGTTAACTATTTATCAGTCTTATGGCTTGGGGGTAGAAGCTGTTCAGGCTCCTGTTGGTTCCAGACTTGCATAGGCACCGGTTGCTGTGCGGTAGCAGAGAGAACAGTCTGACTTACGTGTCAGGATCATTTTTAGGGCCTTCCATGTACTGGTTAAAAGGAGAATAATTTTTAAACGTTCTAATGCTGTTAAATCTATGTCTCAACTCCCATTATAAAGGGAATAACATGTTGAAACGGGAGTAAATGTTGAACAGTGACATTGATGAGAAAGACACACCTGTTTCAGTAGTAAGAGTCGCGGCTCAAATGGTGCATGCAACCCTTCATTTAGCAAATTACCTCAACTCAAGTAGGCCATTGGCAATGTCTGCATATCAACTGCAATTTCTGTAATCAGCACGTTCTTTTCCAACTGTTAAGGACAATGACATGCGGAGCGCTTTATATCCATCGAATATAATTTGAAATATGCATATCCTCTCTTAACGTCACAGCATTGTTGTTGTTTTTTAAAATCCCTTTACGATGGGACCTGTTAGTGGTAGTTTTGTGATAACTGCATTGTGATTTTAATTTATTCGGTTAGGGATTTGTTCTTAATGTCAATGATTCAATTTCGTTTAAAATGTTTTAACGTTCACACCCCTAGCTGTATATTAGTGTTCTTCTACAAATACCAGGCTAGATTCAGAGGCATTATGTACCCTTCAATTGTCTCCTTCCCACCCTTACGCTTTGCCCCTCAACTCACCATTTGAAGAGGTAGAAGTCGTAGAGCTTGATGGGGCAGCGTAGAGGGTTCTCTGGATGCTCCAACTGCTCTGCATACATGTCATCTGTCACTGCGGGAGAGAGGTTAGAGGTTAACACCATGACTCGAAATGTCACAAAGAGCCATGTACAGCATTTGACCCCTGGCTCTCCTGCCCTGGGGCTTGGTGACCTCTCACCTTTCTGTCCTATCTGGTGCTGGCCAACAGGCTTTAGGTAGCGGATGCTGGTGCACTTGTCTTTGGGGTTGTTGGGGCTCTTCCTGGTGTGTCTCAGGACTTTGGAGAAGGCGAGCTTCAGATGCTGCTCCACCGTCTTCAGCTGGAAGTACCTAGGGAGGACAAAGAGGTGTTAGATACATGCATTGTGTGTGTGTGTGTGTGTGTGTGTGTGTGTGTGTGTGTGTGTGTGTGTGTGTGTGTGTAACTAACTCACTTGGTGTTGAAGAACATCAGCGTGGTCAGTAGCGTTGCAGGGGAATGGGCACCCAGCTGTTTACACTCCCACAGCATCTCCTCCGTCACCTGACTGGCAATGAGGTAACCTGGGCCAGGAAGTCATAAAACACAGCAAAAAACATGAAACACCTGACATGTTTTATTCATCACTAATTCATGCAGGTGATATGTACAATGTGTATGGTTGGGCTCTAATTGACTATACCGATTTCTGTTCTTACCTAGTGGATGGACGCTTGGCCTCCATGGCTCAAGTATCCGATGCAGACACTGGGAGAAGCGCCCGTAGTACGGGTCTGAGAACACGTCATCCACACGACCATTATCAACCAGATACTACACAGAGAAAGACAGGAAAGACAGGAAAGACAAGAGAGTAAAAATATATTTAGTTAGAATATGCAGTAGCTTCCATTATAGTTACTATATTCCTGTGTGTATGGGGCACCTTCTGTATGCAGAGGAAGACATAGTAGAGAACGTCAGCCCCATAAGTCTCTCCCTCCAGCCCTCGGGCCTCCTGGCACATGTGAGACAGCCCCACACTGAGCTCAGCAACCGCACACGACACCAGGTCCTCCTGGAACCTCAGCGCCTGCCGGCCTACACACACACACACACAAAAGTATTAACAGTCAATGGGGAGCTGGCTAGCGAGGGGGTAGACATACTGCCCAATTAAAAAAAGGTGTGTGAATGTACTTACGGCCAATGGGAGCTAGTTTGTTGATCTCGTCCTTGTCCAGCTCGGCATTCTTCCTCTGGGCCCAGAGCTTCCACACGTCAAGCCCCTCCTCAGGCTTCAGAGAGCAGGAAAGCATAATCTCTGTATGCCCCTGGCCCTCCATCTCTGCTACTGTCATGGTCTGACCCTGCGCACACACACCAGGGGTATCAGTATGCAAAAAAAGCAGCAAGAGACCAGGCCATTCGAGTTAAGATCTCTAAACAAAAAAATGTAATCAAGATTATAAAAGTTATATCAATTTTGATGTAGATGTTTGGGGCTTTTAGAATTATTATCTGTAGCTGCTGAATAAATTGACCTGTAGTTGCTGTGCGTCCTGGACCTGCACCCCTCCCTGTGTGTGCAGCACCTGCTGCTGGGGGTCCCAGATGAGCGACTGGGTGGTGTTGCCATACCCCTGCACCGCCACAGGGATGTGGATGTTCCCGTGCATGAACTGGGCCGGGAACAGAGAGTTGGCCGCCACTGTCTGGTATTGCACTTCTTCATGACCCCCCGACGACCCAGTCATCGTGGAAACTGCATGACCTGAGCCGATCGTAACTTGTGTTGGCGTAGTGTGTGCCATTGTCGTTGTAGTTCCCCCCCCAACCTGCACAGCGCTGTATGCTTCCTGGGGGATGGCGATGTGTGTGACGCCACCCTGATCGCGTGACCCAGGTGGGGCAGAGTAGACTGGGATGGTCCAGGTCTCTCCAGTGGGGCTGGTGATGGTACCTGTAGCGCTGTACAGGTGGCTGCTATCTACAGTCAACACGTCTGGCCTCAGAGATACGTAGCTCTGCTGCTGCCCCTGACCCTGGGGGATGGCTAGTACAGTGGCCAGCTGCTGACCAGGCAGGGCATACGACACTGTGATGGGCATGTCCACCTTACGCTTCTTGGCTGGCTGGAGGGGGGAGGTGGTCTGGATGGTGTTCCCCCGGGGAGAGCCCTGCTGCTGGGAGGGGGAGAGAGCTCCCACCGTCTGGATCTGGATCTGTTGACCACCAGCCACCGCTGCCATCAACTGGGCCTGCAGCTGCGAGGTAGATGAGGGGGAGAGAGATGTTGAAATACATGATCTGTTAGGTAAATGTGTACACCAACTGGTGTGTGTGTACCTGTTGGTGCTGTTCTTCCGTCAGGTCCCCAGACTGTATTAGCTGGGCTGTCGTGACCCCCTGTAGCTGTTGATGTGAGGAGGAGGGCAGCTGCAGCACCTGGCCACCCACCCCAACCACCTGGCCCTGATGTTGCCCCCCAATCTGCACCTACAGGAGATGGGGAAAGAGGGGGTGTCTGGTGTCAGTATTAATCTTTTCCATATACTTTTCGGTTAACCAGGATAGTCATAGGCTCTCAGCAATAATTGGCACTCATTTTTAGGAGAGTGGCAGGGACAGAGACAGACAGAATGATTAGATGAGAGAAAAAGACTACTGACCTGTATTATGTCTTGGCCTTGGTGCATGGCTGTGGTCATATGGGGTGAGAGCTGCTGCTCTGCTGCCATCACCTGCTGCTGGGACACCTGTACCTGCTGTTGCTGAAGGTAGAGCACAAGGTGGTTTTTATTATAATATGGACCATGTGATCAAATCCATCTTGTCTTTCACAAACTCAACCTTCTCTTTCCCTCTCGCTGTCTCTTACCGGACAGGCCAGTTCCAGCAGTGACCCAGCCACCTCGGTGCTGTCTGTGTATATGCAGTTGGCTCCCTGCTGGTACACTGTGGTGGTGGTAGTGGTTGTGGCGGCTGCGCCGCCCTGATGGTTGAACTCTTGCAGTGCCTCGGGGCCCTTGTTGGCCAGGGACTCCAGGAACTCCTTCATCCGATGCTGGGGGACACTGCGGGCCTTCAGCCTCACCAGATCCTCAAACGAGCCCCCCGAACCCTCCATGTTATTCATCACAGCCCAACGCTACTCTTCTACAGGGGATAGGATGGTGTGCCTGTGTGGACATAGACAAGATGCATGTCAGTTAGTCATTTACCATAAACCTGCAGTTATTTACTTACTGTCATGAAGGCTTAAAGGGCAATTCCACCACTTTTCAACCTCATTTTCATTATCTCCAGCACAATACCAGTGTCTACATATGTGAAAAAAGCGCATTTCTACATTTTATATAAATAAATAAAATTTAAGAGTTCTACCCGATGACATCAAAAGCCACAAAAAAAAATGTTAACTGTGATTTTCAAACTATGATATTCACGGTGACATGGGGAGCAAGAAAATAGCCTCCCTCTGGCTACAAAGTTGTTGCAGGTTTTCAAAATCCGTTTCTTACTTTTAATCCTACCCTGTGATGTCACAGAGAAGCATTTTTTTAGGACCTTATCTTTTTATCCACTGATCATAGAAATTTACAGTTTTCACATATTTAGAAACTGGTAAGGTGCTGTAGATAATTAAAATGAGGTTGAATTGTCCTTTAAGTTACAATGACTACGTTAATAGGGTTGTGGTACACTACTAAAGTTGTCGGTCACAAAAAAAAAAGAAACATGCATTAGTTTTGGCAGGAAAATAACGTTTTAGGACAAGAATATTTGCTGACAGACAAGGAAGGGGGAAACTTTTGTGGCCGTCCAATCACGGTCGGTAGTAGTAGGCCAAATCCTCCGTTCTGTCCCGCCAGGGCTATGACAGTGTTTGAAGGCAGGAATGTTTTACATCTGACAGAAGCTAAAGGTTAATTCTGCTGGCCTGGGGTGTCAGGATTCGGAGGGTGCTGCAAAAGCGTTGTGTCTCAAATCAGAAGAATGAAATCATCATCATCATCATCATCTACTCGGAATTCGGAACAATAAAAACTGTTCCGTGACAGTCGAGGTCAGGGCGGGGGCTCACCAGGTAGGTCTTGGTTCTTCGCTCGAGCAGTTCGGTTGTGAGAACACCGAACAAAGATGGAACAAATCTCACATTTGACTGGGTGTGAATTAAGTAATTGTTCATAGATACTGAACAAATGCCAAGTGTACATTTGCTACTGTAACTAAAGGAGAGTTACTGGTGTTGTAAATCTGCTACTGTAGCTAGCTGCTAACGTTACAAGCTAGCTAGCATTAGCTGACTACGGTATTTTGCTCGTTCCCGTGGAGTTCCCTCCTCCATACCTGTCTACTAAACAAACAGAATATGCAGCTCTTGAGCAAATAAAATACGCCATGTTAATGAAAGCACAAAATAGATAATGTGGTGAATAGAAGAACGTCAGTATAAGACGTGTTTAGTTCAGTAACAGTATACTAACGTTAGTACGCTCCACTCCCCTCCTCGCCTTTACCTCTCTTCTCCCAGGCCTTTACCTCTCTTCTCCCAGGCCGACCAACTCCACTCTCTCTATCCGCCCAGAAAAGCAGCTCCACAAGCCAGTAGCAGCGTTTTTCTTGTACATATGAGAGATACAAGATGTCTCTGTGATCTTTTAGACTTGGATTTTTTCTTGTTTCTTGCTATTTCGTCTATTATTTTCCCTTTTATTTTGCAGTCAGATTTCACTGGGCGCCATCTTACAACTACACCCCTTTCGTCCAATCAGATGGCGTTCTACTGCGGCGTGCTGCTAACGCGAGATTACCCACTGCAGATGCCGCGAGAAATTGATGTGACGGTCATTTTAAAGGGGACATGCAGTGCAACGTGCCACACTTATCACAACTTCGTGACAAAAACTCTTCCAGAGGAAGCATAACTCAAGATTAAATTGCAATCTAATTGCTTTAAAGTGTGAAATAAATGTCTTGTTCATAAGGCTATGTGCTGCTCATGGGGAACAACCTTACAGTAAATATTCGACTTTTCCATGTATGCAGTTACATCTTTTCCACATCAAATATCTTGGAAATAACCTCTGCTCAGCACTGTACGTAGGTAACATGATTATTTTAGTAAAGAACCCTGGCAGCAGGGTAATGTACTGTGGGTACTGTGTTTTGGAAACAGCATCTGTCCCAGTCCACCTTAAAGAGCTTCTCACTGGTATCTTGCCTAGTTGTTGTCTTAAGGTGGACCACAGGAAATGTGCCAATTAATTTGGTGGAATTGGGACAGCTCTGGGCAGGCAAGAGTTAATTCCCATGCACTCTACTTCATCCAAAAGTGGTCTGTGTCCACCTTAAAGAGCTTCTCACTGGTATCTTGCCTAGTTGTTGTCTTAAGGTGGACCACAGGAAATGTGCCAATTAATTTGGTGGAATTGGGACAGCTCTGGGCAGGCAAGAGTTAATTCCCATGCACTCTACTTCATCCAAAAGTGGTCTGTGTTCCTCCCACAATGCAAGTGTGCCTTTAAGTGGATTGTGTTGAAGTATGAGTGAATGAATGTTATCCCTTTCACTGTTAAAGTTGATTAAGAAACACACCACACACCTGCATTAACCCAAGGTAAACACTGACTCAGACACATTGTAATAACTATTTTAATTATTTTTTCATGGTTTTATTCATGGTTTCCTCTCAAATTGTCAAGTGTGTCACCAAATGTTCAATTTCTGTAAAATAACCAAATGTTGCATTTGAGAGCATCTATGTTGTGTGAGATCGGCACAGAGCTAAGCTTGATGATGATACGTTTGACCATGGACGCAAAGCTTGATAATGATGATAGGATGGGTTTACATCATACAAACTTACAGTAAGACCCTTGTTACCCTAATTATAAATGAGTTGTGGTCCTCAAAAGGAGGTACCTTGTGACACAGTGCCCAAGTCTGTGCAAATGCTAAACTGAAAGATGCCCACAAACCCAAATTATGGATTTCAAATCGACCCCTAAGCACATCTGTAGATCTGGATTGGATAGGTGTATCCAATATGGCAAAAAGTCCACCTAGCCTATCAGAGGCCTATGAAGATGGAGCGTTGCTTACACCCATCTGATACTTTCAGATCTAAAGCATGTCAGATGTAGGAGAAAGGGGTTGATTTGGGATTGACATGTTTGAGGGCTCATGGGAAGCAGGCGGTCCAGCTTGATCCCATTCCACCCAATCACATCTTCCCAGGGTCCTCTTTGAGGGTGACCGTTCTGTTGAAGACGAGCTGCAGGGAGAGGAAAGCTGCTGTTATCCTCTGGCTCATGTTCTATAGACAATTTCTCTTTGTCACCAACTTCATAAGATGACATCATTCTACCAGTGTCCATTTCAAAGTAAACAATTTAATAACACCCCAGTTCTCACTCCTTTTTCCACCTGTATCAATCAACTATTCAGTTTCTGGTTGGTGGACCGTACCTTGTCTGCTGTGCTGTCTGGGTCCAGTGCGAAGTATCCCACTCTCTCAAATTGGAACTTATCAAACACCTTCGCCTTGCTCACCGAAATGTCCACCAAGGCACTGTTGATCACTTGCAGGGAGTTCTGGGGGACATAGAGGACATAGGAAACATTTTGCCATGGGTACATCTCAAACTTCCTCTCCTTGTCTCCTGTCCTTTATCGGCATGTGTGTATGTTTTCTGAGGCTGTGTGTGTGTCCATGACAGTAACACTTAGACACACTCACAGGGTTGATGTCACTTAGGAAGCCGCCGGGCACCTCAGACAGGTCCTCAGGATTTTTGTGAAGGAATCTGAGGACAGATGAAAATAGACAACAAGAGAGAGAGCGAGAGAGAGAGAGAAATCATTACACACCTAGCAGACAGACACACGTCTCTCTCTCACAGACACAAACGCAAAGCCTTTTCAGTGACTCACAGTCTTTCGTAGAGACGGATTTCGCACTTCTGGGGCTCGCTGACCCAGTGGATGAAGGCCTTAGGTTTCTCTGCAGCCTCATGGGAACTACAGCAATGCACGTCCAACTCCACCACCCTTCCTTGGGCGTCCTGAGAGAGAAAGAGATGGCGAGTGAGACAGAGAGAGAGAGAAACATGGAGATAGAGCGAGTAAGAAAGCGGAAGATAATAGCAAAGTGAGAGAATCAGAGAGAGAGGAAAGGGAGAGGACAGAGAAGGTGCAGGGGACAGAAAGAGGGATTTAACATCCTGCCAGGACAAACAGGCATGTATGTTGGTTCATAGTCTTAACATGGTTCTTTGTTTTTTGTAGTCTTTCAGTCTGAGAGAAGCGTCTCACCTTGATGACCTTCTGTACAGAGATGACATAGCCAGCATGCCTCAGGCCTACTGGCTGATCTAGGGTCAGACGCTTGTAGCCCTTCTCCATCACCTGCAGCGGGAGATAGAGAGCAGCAGGGTTAAAACACACACACACGGTACATAGTCAACACTACCTCAGAAACACATTTACAAAGTACACAGACCTTGTCTTGAGAGCGTACACACTAAGACCCCCACAATTTGTCACCTACCTCTCTAAAGTCGCTCTGCTCGATGAAGATGGTGCGTGTAAATGGCACAACATGGCTGCCCATGAACTCATTGGCTGGGAAGTCAGGCACACGGACATCATTCTAGGAGAGGAGATAAAGAAATGGTTCCCATTCGCACTAATCCTCGAATTAAAAGTGATTTTGTGTGTGTGTTTACATACCCGTATGCCCTCAGGCAGGTTGGTGATGGTGACTTTGAGGGGCTCCAGGACGGCCATGGCTCGGGGGGCGTGGTCATTCAGCACATCCCTCACACACGACTCCAACATGTGGGGCTCCATCGTTGCCTGGGCAACAGTCACTCCCACCTGGCAAGATGGAATACAACATTCAAACAATAGTATTGCTTACTCCTCCATCTCCCTCCATCTATCCCTCTCTCGTACCTTTGCACAGAAGTTGTTGATGGCCTCAGATGGGAAGCCCCTCCTCCTCAGAGCAGTCAGAGTGAAGAGACGAGGGTCGTCCCAGTCCCTGCGAAACACAAACCGTCAGTGGAAGTCTCTCACACACATCAATAGTTACTTTGGACCAAATAATGTAGTTTGGCTCTGGAGACAAATAGTTTGGCCCTGGATAATAATAGTTTAGTTGGGCGATATCCAGATTTTCATACCGTTTCTGTACCATACCGAGGTATACGCTATTACCGAATGAGCACACAAGGGGCAAAAACACTAAACAATTTAAGCAACAGGGATCTTGATCCAGGAGGGGATTGAATGTCTCTGCTGTAACCAAGAAGCTTGATCTTGACAACTAGCCACTTAGCTAGCAAGTTAGCAAACCAAATGCATAGCTGGAGCCCTGAGCGGGATAGAATTTGACACATCTTAGATTTCTTATAGTTATACTTAACATATAGTTATAAGCAGTGGCGTAGCACAAAAAAAGTTTTTAAAAATAATTAACGGTATTGAAAATCATACCATCGGTATTTTGAAATAACCCGGTATACGGTGTATCGCCCAAGCCTACAGTTTGGCAGTAGAAACAAATAGTTTGGCCCTGGAAACAAATAGTTTTGCCTTAGAAACAGGATTTCCATAGAGCCAGGTGAGGTGAGGCGAGGTGCTAGTGTGTGTAATGCTGACCTGACAGTTCCTTCCTCCACCAGTTTGATGATCTTCCTCTTGGAGACCACGGTGTACGTGAGGTTCAGACGGCCATATTCCCACTGCACAGGGCAGTACACGTCCAGAGCATTACACAGCCAGAAATACGATGACCGCCTGAAGGACACACACAAGCATATTAAGAGAATCCATCAAAGGTTCTAAAGAACCAAAAACGTAAAGGAAAGAAAGATCCTGAAACAAACACATTTGAATGTAACTACAACACACAGCATACCTGGCCTGGAACTCCTTGGTGCAGAGTGAGTGTGTGATGTTTTCAATGGAGTCACACAGACAGTGGGTGTAGTCATAGGTGGGGTAGATACACCTGTGAAGAGGAAAGGGGCGAGGGGGTAGAACTGTGATGAGTATAATGAAAACTGTTAGAAGGAACACTGTGGTGCGTGTGTGTGTATTACCATGCGTCCCCAGTGCGATGGTGGGCTGTGTATTTGATCCTGTAGGCCACGGGGTCCATCTTGCCGTCCTCCATCACTATCTTCATCCTAAGTGTGGCCTCTCCCTCAGCGAAAAGGCCCCGCCTCATCCTGTCAAACAGCACCAATGACTCCTCAGCAGGACGCTCTCGCCATGGCGACGGGGGCAGGTTGTGACCCTTCAGCTCCTCCCCCCGCTGGTGACACACGTAGGCATGGCCCCTAGAGAGGTGAGCAAACAGTCAGATACACTCCTATATAGACACACATGTATGCAAATGGTTCCACACATATGAGAATAAAGAGAAACACAGACAGTGCCACCCACCTACGGATGAGGTCCTCTGCCAGGTCGTAAAGTCTTTGGAAGTTGTCGGAGGCGTGAGTGATTTCATAAGGCTTATAACCTGAGACACACACACACACACACACACACATACTGATGTTGCAATGTGTTATGGTTGACTATAGCATGTCATTACCAGTCAGTGCTAAACCGTTCTCTGGAGACTTTGCCAATGTTGTTGTGATGTTAGGGCAGTAGTTCTCAATCCTGGTTCTGGGGACCTAGCACTACACACCTGACTCAAATCATCAACTCGTAATCAGGCTTTGATGATTTGAGTCAGGTGTGTAGTGCTAGGGCAAAAAAAAAGATATGCACCCCTTTGGGTCCCCAGGACCAGGATTGAGAAACATTGTGTTAGGGTAACATTGTACAACGGACACTCACCCAGCCACTCCACCATGTCTTTGATGGCGGTGAAGTACTTCTCCTCTTCCTTCTCTGGGTTAGTGTCATCATACCTCAAGAAGCAGATCCCATCATTAGCCTGAGGAGGGAGAGAGGACAAGGAGAGAGGAAAAGAGAGGACAACACAATTGTGATAGTGCATTATGGTCAGGGTTCAGTCAAGTACACAGTATGAAATCAACCCTTAGCCTTTACCAATAAGCTAAATGTAGCCTAAGCTATACTTTGCCTTCTGGTAGTGGTTAAGGGTGTGGTGCTGGTGGGTGGAGTGTGTGTCAGGGTCATACCTTAGCGTAGCCAAAATTAAAGTTGATGGCTTTGGCGTGACCAATGTGAAGAATACCGTTGGGCTCTGGAGGGAAACGAGTGCGAATCTACAGTAATATAGACAGGCAAGAGAAAAACCAACAGAGAAGGAGAGACAAGGAGAAAGAGATTCATTAGTGAGAGATCAACAGTTCCACCTGCAGGCAGTATGTTCCTTAAATGCATTCTGGTCATCCCACCCATGACATTCCCTTATCTCCATACCTGTCCTCCAGTGAACTCCAGATGCTGCTTCAACAGGTCCATGGTTTTAGGAGTGACCACATAGCCCTCTGTTTTATAGTTCTCTCCTGGAGAAACAGGTCAGAGGCCAGGGGTTACAAGCTAGTATACTTAAATTGGTAAGGAGGGTCATGGAAGAAGTGTCTCCATCTCACCTGGTTTGTGGAAATTTAGGGCCGCTCCTCTCAGCTGATCCATCAGTGATCTGCCCTCAATCTTCAACTCCCCTACACACATACACAAGTCACACAAAAGTATGTCAACACCCCTGTAACAGGGTGACCACTTAACCCAGAGCAGCTATATGTGGAGTCCCCAGGTCATTACCATTCATAGTGAGCTCCTCCTTCACCTTCACCTCACCATCTGGAGCCTTAGCCTTCTGAGCCTGCACATAGGAGTTATTCATTTAGTATCATTTACATAGGAGTTATTCATTTAGTATCGTATACAGTACATAGGAGTTATTCATTTAGTATATTTTACGTGATTATGCAATGGATTGATCCATTAGTAAAATCATCCCAGCTTTTGCATGTGAAATATGATTGCAAAAAAAATTGAATGGACAGCCATGTTGAGCTGTGTGAGGTGCTACCTTGGGTTTCTTCTCCAGGTCAGCCTCTGTCTTTGGGCCCAGGAGATGGAGGACCTGAGAGGGAACGGGGTCAGGATTTCACACAGGGTCACAATACAAGCACACATCTGAGGTATATCTATGTTGATATACACAGAATGCATTCAGAGGCCAAACATAAATGTATTGCTACACACACCTGCATGTCCACCTCGTTTTTGATCGTCTTCCCATCAGCCCACATCAGACCACCACGAGCCTCACCTGTGAGTACAGAGGCACTCTCAATGAGACTTACATCCTCTGCTCCTTACCGACACAGATATTAATTTCCTCCAGTCCCGGAGGAGGTAATCAATATTCTATCAGGGCTGTATTCTTACCCATGAGCAGTCCCATGTTAAAACGGTACCTCTCCTGCAGCAGCTGGTCTTTGTGCTTCTTGATAACTTTTTCCACCTGTAACACACCACTGTCAGTCAAACCCCTCACACTACCCAGCAACTGTTAATAATCATCATCACTGGACAGAGGCTATGTTTACAACATGACAATGTTGCATGCAACATTATAGGTAAACAGGAAAAGTCTGGGCCCTCTAGTTAGGGCTAAAGCCAGACGTTTTCCTGGTCAAAATAAGCTCAAGTCCTCACCTTGTCTTCTATCTGCTCTGGCGTTATGACCACTCCCACTCCACACAAAGACTCAAACTCCTTCTGGTTGATGGGGTCCTGGGGATGGCTCTTCACAAACTCCAAAGCAGCTAGAGAGGCGAGAGGAGCATGTTTAAACAGTCTGACACATTAAGGATAGTTCACCCCAAAATCAAAGTGTCTTTGTCTTTGTGTGTGACAGAGCGAGAGAGAGAGAGCTAGAAAGGGAGGATGGGAATGGCCACGAGACAAAATGCTGATGACATACAGACATCTTATCAGCTTTAGTTAATAATTACATTAATCATTGATGTCACGAAACTTGAGTTTGTGTGTGTCTACCTGCCAGTTGCAGCTCTGTGCAGATCTTATGCTGAGCGATGTGATCTGTGAGGAAGCCCAGGCGTTTGGGGTCTCTCAGACGAGAGGCCATGGTGTACAGGAGGGTCCCCGTTGCTTTGTCCACTCCTGCCACCCCAAGCACCCGCTGGGCCTGTGGAAAACAACCAGTTGGAATAAATAGACAGTGTTACAAGTGTTGACACCACTTAACACTACTGAAACCAGTGTTAGGCCTATTCCAAGTCCCAGAGTAAACTAGACCTGGAGATGAACTGACAGGAAAGCTGTCAATTTAATAGTCTGGATTGCTACTTTCAAGAACAAGTGCAGTACATTGGAGATCTGGGTTATTTTTAGCTGGTCATGTCAGGGTAAGATGAGTTCTAATGACATGGTACACTAGAAAGAGGAATCCAAATAAAAATTATTTCAAAGGGGTAGGCCTATAACATGTGTAAGAGAAACTGAAAGTTTACAGTGAACTATCAGGTATTTTCTTTCACTATTATTCTTGATTTGTCAATAATACGTTTGAATGAATGTATTCACTCAGACTCATATCAAAGTATGAACTTGTCTGACTAATAAATAAATGCCACAGCCAAAGAGTCAGTGAAATGACTAGTGTCGTAGTAAATATATAATGTTATAGCTTGGTCTGACTAAAATCTTGTGCATGACCCATTTTGTGTTGGGCCTTTGTATTCAATACAATGGACAAAAAGAGTCCTTATTGTCAGCCTTGTCAGCAGGTGGCTATGGACAACACCCACGCCATAGGTCTCTCAGTTCTTCCAACTCACGAGTTCTTGCTCTGAGGACACACACACACACACCCACATACACACATACACATACACATACACATACACACACACACACACACACACACACATACACACACACACACATACACACACACACACATACACACACACACACACACACACACACACACACACACACACACACACACAAATCCCCTTCTCTTAGGCTGAACATCTGAAGACAGAGAACCCGACTCAGAGCCAATGCAACAGTGACACTAGCCTGGAGGTGACCTCGCCCAACTCATCAGGACCAATCAGAAGATCAGAACTACTAGAATCAACCTACTTCATTTTATTGTATAAAATGTCAGCACACAATGTTTAGGGGCTCTCTCAGATATCTCCCTACGAGATTGACGAACGGGTCCGTGCACGCGATTCCAGATATCTTTACCTCTGAATAAACTGCCTTATATTATACAATTATCCACCTTGTCCAAAAGTCTCTACTTGGTCTCCGTTCTCCAGTAAACTTGTTTTATCAACACTAGCTAACGTAAGAAGGTTTATAATACTGTCATATATACCCACGCCCGATCTGCCAAGATTTCATACTTTTCTCAATCTCTCAAGTCATACCTGTGCAATAGCATCCTTTAGGGCAGAACATAAGGCATAATTTTTCAAAGTCTCCTTCGCTTTCTGCTCACTTAGCCCGATAGATGTAAAGAGTGTCAACGGATCCGCCATCTTTTACAATTCACACCAGCCAGACACGCCGCAAAAGATTCTTTGCCTGGAGGGGCGGGGGTACTTCCTACTCACGGAAAGAATAAAAGGAAAGTCATATGAACCAATCATGTCGCGTCTCTTGGACCAATCATGAATGTCTTTGTAGCAGTCGTCAGTCTATACTCTCTCAACGAGCCAATCGTTGGTTGTGTTGATATCAGGAGCCTCCTGAGGAAGGGAGGGGGTTTCACAAATGTGTTGGTTGGTTGCATCAGACAGTAGACGAATGAAATGAGAAGTTTGAGTAATTCATGAAAATCATTAATACGCAGAATAATGTAAGAAATATTAACTTGGAAGTCAAATTGTATGTTAATGTAAGAACGAAGAGACAAATATATTATGTTATGTTAGTCAAAGACGTTAGATCACTCCGCGTAATCTTTATTGTCCATTCTCAACAGTCCAACTCCGGGAAAGTCATTATAGGCCCACGCACATCCAGGGAGGCAGGTGTGCAGAGAAGTGTAAACGTCTGCTCTCTAAGTAAGATTGTGAAGCTATAACTTCTTGTAATGACAAGCTGGTTTTAACTTAGGTTTGCGTAATATGTTAGCTACTCAATCAGTATACGTTATTCCACAAGTTGCTAGGCTCAGCTAGCTAGGTAACATTAGTTGACTAGCTAACGTTACTGACAGCTGAATTCTTACCAACCTCAATCAGATACATGACTGACTGATTAGTGTATGTAATGTGTACACAATCTTTATAATAACCCCCCTGTATTTTGATTTGGGGTTGTTTATTTTGGCTGGGGGGTGTAGATCAACTTTAATGTTGCAGACAGATTGTATGTTCTACCAATTTAATTGTTTGTATAATTTCTAATCCCCCTGATGTATATTTTTAAAAATTCTCTATACTTTTTTCCCTCTACCCTGACATCCCTACCCTAATTGGAGTAAACTAATGGATAACAATACTTCTACTGCTACTTATAGCTATTTCACTCACATCTATGGCACATGTAGTTAAATAATTATAGTACATATATTCCGAATTTCCTCTTTCTTCAAGTGCTGTATTTTCACCAACAGTGGCCAATCCACAATTCATTGATTTTAACTCCACTGTTTTTATTGTATGGCAAACTGATGATGGTGGTGTGCACTTTGTATGCATCGAGTCAAAGATGGTTCTCTCGTGATTTCTCTATCATTAACGTAACTAGACTATGTCGGCGAGTAAATAAACCGCCTCTACCCTCAGTTATATTGGCGAACGTAGCTACAATCACTAGAGAACCAACTGACGAGCTCCGTTCAAGACTATCCTATCAACAGGACCTAAAGGCTGTCGGAGTCGTGGCTGAATAAGGACATGGGTAATATACACCTAGCTGTTTTTTCTATGCATCGTCAAGACCGAACGGCAGCTTCGGTTAAGGGGGAGGTGTGTGAATCTTTGTTAACAACAGCTGGTGCGCGATCTCTAATGTTAAGAAAGTTTCGAGGTTTTACGCACCTTAGAATACCTCATGATAAGCTGCAGACCATACTATTTACCAAGAGAGTTTTCATCAATATTTTTCGTAGCAGTCTATTTACCACCACAAACCGATGCTGGCACGAAGACCGCACTCAACAAGCCATATAGGGCCATAAGCAAACAAGAAAATGCCCATCCAGAGGCGGTGCTCCTAGTGGCCAGTGATTTTAATGCAGGGAAACTGACATTCGTCTTACCTCATTTTTACAAGCATGTCACCTGTGCAACTAGAGGCGAAAAAACTATAGATCACCTTTACTCCACACACAGAAATGCATAGGCCTACAAATCTCTCCCTCGCCCTCCATTTGTCAAATCTGACCATAACTATCCTCCTGATTCCTACTTACAAGCAAAAACTCAAACAGAAAGTACCAGTAACATGCTCAATACGGAAGTGGTCCAATGAAATGGATGCTAAGCTACAGGACAATTTCGCTAGCACAGACTGGAATATCGTCCGGGATTCATCCGATAACATTGAGGCGTTTACCACATCAGTCACCGGTTCATTAATAAGTTCATTGACGACGTCGTCCCCACAGCGACTGTACGTACATATCCCAACCAGAAGCCATGGATTACAGGTAACATCCGCACTGAGCTAAAAGCTAGAGCTGCCGCTTTCAAGGAGTGGGATACTAATCCGGACGATTATAAGAAATCCTGCTACGACCGACGAGCCATCAAACAGTCAAAACGTCAATACAGGACTATGATCAAATCTACTACGCCAGCTCTGACGCTCGTCGGATGTGGCAGGGAAACCCAGCCGCGAGCTGCCCAGTGACACAAGCCTACCAGACAAGCTACATTTCTTCTATTCTCGCTTCGAGGCAAGTAACACTGAACCATGCATGAGAGCACCAGCTGTTCCGGATGACAGTGTGATCTCGCTCTCCTTAGCCAATGTGAGTAAGACCTTTAAACAGGTTAACATTCACAAGGCCACGGGGCCAGACGGATTACCAGGACGCTTACTCAGTGCATGCGCTGTCCAGCTGGCAATTGTTATCACTGACATTTTCAACCTCTCCCTGACCCAGTTTGTAATACCTACATGTTTCAAGCACACCACCATAGTCCCTGTGCCCAAGAACGCCAAGGTTCTCGCCCCGTAGCACTCACATCTGTAGCCATGAAATGCTTTGAAAGGCTGGTCATGGCTCACATCAACACCATCGTCATCCCAGACACCCTGGACCTACTCCAATTCGCATACCGTACCAACAGATCCACCAATGAGACAATCTTTATTGCACTCCACACTGCCCTTTCCAACCTGCATAAAAGGAACACCTAGGTGAGAATGCTGTTCACTGACTACAGCTCAGCGTAGGCAACATACATCCGCAACCCTAACCCTCAACACAGGGGTCCTGCATGGGTGCATGCTTAATCCCCTCCTGTACTCCCTGTTCAACCATGACTGTGTGGCCACGCACTATCATTATGTTTGCTGACGACAAAACAGTGGTTGGCCTGATCACCAACAACAATGAGACAGCCTATAGGGAGGAGATCATTGACCTGGCAGTGTAGTGCCAGGACAACAACCTCTCCTTCAATGTCAGCAAGACAAAGGAGCTGATTGTGGACTGCAGGAAACTGAGGGCCAAGCACTGCCCCGTCCACATCGAAGGGGCTGTAGTGGAGCGGGTTGAGACCATCAAGTTCCTCGGTGTCCACATCAGTAAGGAATTATCATGGTCCACACACACCAACACAGTTGTAAAGCAGGCATGACAAAGCCTCTTCCCCCTCAGGAGGCTGAAAAGATTTGGCATGGGCCCTCAGATCCTCAAAGTTGTACAGCTTCACTATCGAGAGCATCTTGACTGGCTTGGTATGGAAACTGCTTGGCATCGGACCGCAAGGCGCTACAGAGAGTAGTGCGTACGGCCCAGTACATCACTGGGGCTGAGCTCCCTGCCATCCAGGACCTCTATACCAGGCGGTGTCAGAGGATGACCCAAGTCATAGACTGTTCTCTCTGCTACCGCACGACAACTGGTACCGATGCAACAAGTCTGGAACCAACAGGACCCCGAACAGCTTCTACCCCCAAGCCATAAGACTGCTAAATAGTTAGTCCGGGTAGCTATTGGTTAACTATTAAACTATCTGCATTGACCCTTTTTGCACTAACCCTTTTGACTCATCACATACGCTGCTGCTACTGTTTATTATCTATCCTGTTGCCTAGTCACGTTATCTCTACCTATATGTACGTATCTACCTCAATTACCTTGTACCCCTGCACATCGACTCTGTACTGGTACCCTGTGTATATAGCTAAAATATTGTGTATTTCTTCTATGGTTAATAATTGTTTTCTCTGCATTGTTAGGAAGTAAGCATTTCACTGTTAGTCTACTCCTGTTGTTTACGAAGTGTGACAAATAACATTTTATTTTGTTACAACACTCTTAGAAAAAAAGGGTTCTTCAGCTGTCCCCATAGGAGAACCCTTTGAAGAACCCTTTTTGGTTCCAGGTAGAACCCTTTACACAGAGGGTTCTACATGGAACCCAAAATAGTTCTACCTGGAACCCAAAAGGGTTCTACCTGGAACCAGAAAGGGTTCTCCAATGGGAGTAGCCAAAGAACCCTTTTGGAACCCTTTTTTCGAAGAGTGTATGGACGAGTTCATGGCCTCCACTATCCATCTCATCAGATATACTCCACTGTCCATCTCATCAGATATACTCCACTGTCCATCTCATCAGATATACTCCACTGTCCATCTCATCAGATATACTCCACTGTCCATCTCATCAGATATCGCTGATACTACAGTATGTGGTGAGTGATCCAGCACTATGTCCCAGCATGCATTGTTGTCAGCGGGGACCAAGGCATGGCGCTCCCTGGCCTGCTCACGGTCAGAGCTCCGTCTGGACCTCACACTAGGCTGCGGACAGAGCTTCCGGTGAGTTCCTTTGACCACTGCTTCGCTGATTCTATAGAGCAATGGCAGGGCATACGTTACATGACCCAGGGCTCTGCCAAAGGCATTAGCAAGTATTGAAATGATCTCTAACTCACTCACTACCTCTCAAACCATTTATCCTAACCCTCTGTACCCCCTCCCCCTTTTCCCTGCCAGCTGGCGAGAGACAGGGGATGGCCACTGGACCGGAGTGATGGGGGGACGAGTGTGGACTCTCACCCAGACAGACGACACTCTATGGTACCACACATACAATAGCCCCAACACCACAGCAGAGGGGGATGGGAGGAAGAGGAAGGCAGGTGCCCTGCTCCAGGGGTCAAAGGGGTCAGGGAAAAGATCCAAGGGAGTGAAGGAGCAAGAAGACGAGGAGCCAGTGGCTGTGACCCCTGACCCAGACAGGAAGGAGGAAGATCTGCTGAATGATTATTTCCAGCTGAAGGTGAAGCTGGGGGATCTGTACAGCGAGTGGGGAGAAGCCGACCCACACTTTAAAAGCATTGCCAACATCTTCACAGGTAAGTTGGTCTGTGTTTATAGTACTGTGTCTAATATGTCTCTTCTGTGTTTGTGTGTGTTTGTGTGTGTGCATTTCATACTTTACAGTGTGTGTGTTCCTCCCCCAGGTGTGCGTATGCTGCGTCAGGACCCAGCAGAGTGCCTGTTCTCCTTCATCTGCACCTCCAACAACCACATCTCTCGTATCCAGGGCATGGTGGAGAGGCTGTGCCAGTCCCTGGGCACCCCTCTGTGTCAGCTGGACCAGACCAGCTACCATGACTTCCCCTCCCTGCATGCCCTCGCAGGTTCCAACTCCACTACCACCAACACTACTCTGGCTGATTGTCTGATATCTGTCTCATCTCTCTCTTTCAAATCCTTCTTTAAAAATAATGTTTTTGGCGCTGACATGTCCTCTGTGCTCTGATTGGCAGACAACAGTGTGGAGGCGTGTCTGAGGGACCTGGGGTTTGGGTACAGGGCCAGGTTCCTGCAGCAGAGTGCCAGACAGATCCTGGACTCTCACAGTGGGCACCAGTGGCTCCAGGGGCTCCGCAGTGCCCCCTATCTGCAGGCCCGTGATGCACTGCGTACCCTGCCCGGGGTAGGCCCCAAGGTATGCCTCAACCCTTCAGGACAATTAAGGGTGCATAACATAGTAAATGTAAATCCGGGACATTCAAATTTGTATGATATGTTACGTTTGGTATGGTTACATAAGACAGATAATTACTTAGGGTGGTTGGTAGGGGTGGATGTCTAGCGAACGTCTAGCAACCCAAAGGTTGCGAGTTCGAATCTCATCATGGACAACTTTAGCATTTTAGCTAATTAGCAACTTTTCAACAGCTTACTACTTTTAGCTATTTTGAAACTACAGTAGTTAGGATGTTAGCTAACCCTTTTTTATTTTTTTATAAACGGGGGTAGATCAGCTTTAATATTGTAGATAGATTGTAACTTCCATCAATGTAATTGTCTGCATCACTTCCAATCCCCCATATGTTTTTTTTTCTTCTCGCAAATATGTGTATATATATATATATATATATATATATATATATATATATATATATATATATATATATACTACAGTTCAAAAGTTTGGGGTCACTTAGAAATGTCCTTGTTTTCGAAAGAAAAGCAATTTTATGTCCATTAAAATAACATCAAATTGATCAGAAATACAGTGTAGACATTGTTAATGTTGTAAATGGCTATTGTAGATGGAAACGGCTGATTTTTAATGGAATATCTACATAGGCGTACAGAGGCCCGTAATCAGCAACCATCAGTCCTGTGTTCCAATGGCACGTTGTGTTTGCTAATCCAAGTTTATCATTTTAAAAGGCTAACTGATCATTAGAAAACCCTTTTGCAATTATGTTAGCACAGTTGAAAACTGTTGTGCTGAGTAAAGAAGCAATACAACTGGCCTTGAGACTAGTTGAGTATCTGGAGCATCAGCAATTGTGGGTTCGAATACAGGCTCAAAATGGCCAGAAACAAAGAACTTTCTTCAGAAACTCGTCAGTCTATTCTTGTTCTGAGAAATGAAGGCTATTCCATGCGAGAAATTGCCAAGAAACTGAAGATCTCGTACAACGCTGTGTACTACTCCCTTCACAGAACAGCGCAAACTAGCTCTAACCAGAATAGAAAGAGGAGTGGGAGGCCCCGGTGCACAACTGAGCAAGAGGACAAATACATTAGTGTCTAGTTTGAGAAACAGACGCCTCACAGGTCCTCAACTGGCAGCTTCATTAAATAGTACCCTCAAAACACCAGTCTCAGCGTCAACAGTGAAGAGGCGACTCCGGGATGCTGACCTTCTAGACAGAGTTGCAAAGAAAAAGCCATATCTCAGACTGGCCAATAAAAAGAAAAGATTAAGATGGGCAGTCTAAGATATGGATTTTTCTTTGCAACTCTTCCTAGAAGGTCAGCATCCCGGAGTTGCCTCTTCACTGTTGACATAGAAACTGGTGTTTACAGACAGATTATTTCACTTATAATTCACTGTATCACAATTCCAGTGGGTCAGAAGTTTACATATACTAAGTTCACTGTGCCTTTAAACAGCTTGGAAAATTCCAGAAAATGATGTCATGGCTTTAGAAGCTTCTGATAGGCTAATTGACATAATTTGAGTCAATTGGAGGTGTACCTGTGGATGTATTTCAAGGCCTACCTTCAAACTCAGTGCCTCTTTCCTTGACATCATGGGAAAATCAAAAGAAATCAGCCAAGACCTCAGACATTTTTTTGTAGACCTCCACAAGTCTGGTTCATCCTTGGGAGCAATTTCCAAACGATCCACACAATCCCAGAACAACAGCAAAGGACATTGTTAAGATGCTGGAGGAAACGGATACAAAAGCGTCTATATCCACAGTAAAACAGGTCCTATATCTATATCGACATAACCTGAAAGGCCGCTCAGCAAAGAAGAAGCCACTGCTCCAAAACCGCCATAAAAAAGCCAGACTACGGTTTGCAACTGCACATGGGGACAAAGATCGTACTTTTTGGAGAAATGGCCTCTGGTCTGATTAAACAAAAATAGAACTGTTTGGCCATAATGACCATCGTTATGTTTGGAGGAAAAAGGAGAATGCTTGCAAGCCTAAGAACACCATCCCAACCGTGAAGCACGGGGGTGGCAGCATCATGCTGTGGGGGTGCTTTGCTGCAGGAGCGACTGGTGCAGTTCACAAAATAGATGGCATCATGAGGAAGGAAAATTATTTGGATATATTGAAGGAGCATCTCAAGACATCAGTCAGGAAGTTAAAGCTTGGTCGCAAATGGGTCTTCCAAATGGACAATGACCCCAAGCATACTTCCAAAGTTGTGGCAAAATGGCTTAAGGACAACAAAGTCAAGGTATAACCTATAACCTATTATGGACACAGTATGCTTGACATTAGTTATTTTGTTGTTGTTATTAGTACCATCCTTCAGCTCCATTCAACACCTCCCATCTATCTCTTAGCCCATTCCAGCCTTGTGTAGGTCTACAATCTTGTCCCTGGCATCCTTGGAGAGCTCTTTGGTCTTGGCCATGGTGGAGAGTTTGGAATCTGATTGATTGATTGCTTCTATGGACAGGTGTCTTTTATACAGGTAACAAGATGAGATTAAGAGTGTGCTCCTAAAGGGAGTGCTCCTAATCTCAGCTCGTTACCTTTATAAAAAGACACCTGGGAGCCAGAAATCTTTCTGATTGAGAGGGGGTCAAATACTTATTTCCCTCATTAAAATGCAAATCAATTTATAACATTTTTGACATGCGTTTTTCAGGATTTTTTTGTCGTTATTCTGTCTCTCACTGTTCAAATAAACCTAACATTAAAATTATAGACTGATCATGTCTTTGTCAGTGGGCAAACGTACAAAATCAGCAGGGGATCAAATACTTTTTTCCCCTCACTGTACCGCCTAACACCATCCATATTGGATTTCTATTTGCCATATATTTTTCAACTGTACTGTGATGTTTCACAAAAGTTCTGAACCTTTCTATTCTCATTGTTTATACAGATTGTAAATTGAAATAAACATTTTTGCTAAAAGTATAATTATATTATTGATCGTTTGACTATGACTTTTCAGATCACCCAGTAGTGCTATCTGCAGGGTTAGCTCCAGGTAAATATTGCAATCATTCAGCCATTCCTGGACATGTGACCAAAAACAAGCTTCAAATGGACAGTACCAAAACAAATGATCTAATGAGTCTGTCTCTTCGCAGCAAAATCTGCAGAGCTGGGAAGATTGTATCCCCCCATATAAATAACATTCTATTGGTAGCAAGAATTTTGTGTAATAATTTAAATTGAAAAATTCTAAGTTTTGAATCCGGCGTCGTTTTGCATATAAGTTCATATTTTATTTTTTATTTTAGTCATTTAGCAGAAGCTCTTATCCAGAGCGACTTACAGTTAGTGAGTGCATACATTCTTCATACTGGCCCCCCGTGGGAATCGAACCCACAACCCTGGCGTTGCAAGCGCCATGCTCTACCAACTGAGCTACAGGAAAACTATGCCATGGAATCAGTACGTCAAAAATCTCTTCCCAACTATTTTGCAATCTATATGGGACGGCTGTCAATCCTTTGGTCCTTAAATGAAACTGGTATACTTTTTTATTTATCACAATTTTCTTTAACCAATTATGTTATTTAATGCACCCTTCCACTTTCCTCTTCCATTTTTGCAGGAATCCTGCAATTATTTGGTTGTAATTTTGGGTAGAGCAGACATTTCCATATGTTTTTGTTAGCTGCATGTGCGACAACTCCACCAGTCCTACCTATGATATCATTTACGAAGATTATACCTTTTTTTTTAAAATTTTTTATCAATTAGTATATTTGAGTTTAACCACAATATTTGTTGCATTATTTGTTCTGTCATTTCTGGAGGATTAAATTGAAATTGCAATCAACTTTCGATGTCTTGTTTTACAAATAGTGATATTTGGGAGATTATTTCCTTTTCAAATAACTGAAAGTGAGAGGTTGTAATCTGAATAAAGGGAAAAAGGCCATTCTTGAACATGGGGTGAGACAATCTTACTAATTTGCTAGAGAACCAGTTCGGATTTAAGTATAACTTTTGTATGACTGAAGCTTTTAGTGATATGGCTAATGCTTTAATATTTAATAGTTTCTGTCCTCCGAATTCATATTCATTATATAAATAGGCCTGTTTATTTTTGTCTGGCTTGCCATTCAAAATAAAATGGAATATTTTTTTTCTCAGATAATTTAGAAAACTGTTCGCTAGGTGTAGGCAAGACCATAAGCAAATAACTGGGATAATACTAAAGAAATAATCTGGGTGATTTTTCCACAAATAGACAGTTATTTACCTTCCCATGGTAGCAAGATCTTATCTATTTTTGCTAACTTTCTATTCAAATTTATTGGAGTGAGATCATTTATTTCAGTTGGGATATGTACTCCGAGTATATCTACATCACCATCAGACCATTTTATTGGTAAACTACATGGTAATGTAAACATTTTATTTTTTAGTGATCCAATATGTAATATAGTACAGTTATCATAATTTGGTTCTAATCCAGAGAGGTTAGAAAATGTATCTAGATCCTCTATGAGGCTGTGGAGGGATTCAAGTTGTGGATTTAAAAGAAAACATGAATCATCAGCGTACAATGACACCTTTGTTTTTAAGCCCTGGATTTCTAATCCCTTGAAATTATTGTTGGATCTGATTTTAATAGCTAACATTTCGATGGCCATAATAAATAGATATTTCGAGAGTGGACAACCTTGTTTTACTCCTCTTGACAGTTTGAAACTTTCTGAGAATTAGCCATTACATTAGCCATTAGCCATTATTTTACACCTAGGGTTTACTATACATGATTTTAACCAATTTTATAAGAGATTCTCCAAAATTGAAATGCTCCAGGCATTTATATATACATTCCAATCGTACTTTATCAAATGCCTTTTCGAAGTCTGCTATGAATAGCAGGCCTGGTTTCCCAGATTTTTCATCGTGTTCTATTGTTCCCAGTACTTGCCTTATATTATCTCCAATG